ATATATACTATATATAAATAGAATACGTGATTTTTTGTGGCCTATTTTGCAGACACCCTTTTAATTAGAACTCTATAAATGAACAGTACGCGAAGTACTTGAGTGCATCTCTTCGAATTCTGCCGTATGTTGGATTATAAATTTTTGTCATATAAAACTTGAATAATTAAGCGCTAATATTGATGATATTAACTATCATACAACACAAGTTTTTAGCATTTCACAAGAAGTTGCTTTTTATCCCCTATTAGGTTAACACTTCTGGTAAAACGTAACTTGCAATTTATATATTATGCAATATTCTCTCTAAATATTACGAGTCTTAAGTCAATATCTAAGAATATACCCGTTCATGCCCAGATACGGAACTATTTCTTTAATCTTCTCTTCAGTAATGACCTTAAGCGGGCCAACACCCGCTTAAGGTAATTACTGTTTTCTAGTTAATTTTTTTAGTAAGTTAATGATTCCTTTATACGATTCTGCTTATTGTTGTGTTTGTAATATTCTCACTAGGGTATTAGGGTAACAACGTTAGCGCCATAAATGCTTAGTAGTTGAGATTCGTTATTTCAATATATGCTCAAACTTTCTAATTATTTCGTCATTTAGAAGTGCATGTATTTAACATTATATTACATATTTGATCTGAGCACTGACATAAAATTTCGTATAGTCTCAGCTTGGGCCATCTAAAATCAGCCTAAGGAATTTTTTTTGGCTAGGAACTTACTCAATCGCTAGCGCTCAATTTCTTTACGTTTTTAGAATACGAAGTTTGCTGAGTAAGTTTCTTGAACTTGGAGCTGCATTAATACTACGTACTTTATACATCTCTAAGCAACCGTAGCAGAATATGCTACGATCTTAATAGTGCCCATAAAGATTTTTTAAAGGATTTTTCGTATCACTGGTTAGCCTTTCCAGAATGAATAATTAAAGTAAATGTATCTATATACCAAGTGGCATTACATATGATAAATATGCTTAGAAGCATTATTTCAAAATGTAATTGTTTTTTTTTTACTTTGATTCACTAATAGACTTTTGTGGTCTTCCTATCAATATAGTTAGATTTGGAATGCACCAAAGCATTCCAAATCTTCGAGTCGATCAGCATTCTCCGGAAAAGTTAGAAATTACTTTTTCACAATATGAAGAAAAATTAATAAAAAAAAATTTACCTTCTATGTGGCTGACGATTCTACTTTTAATTTTGTATTTTTTTTCTGAGATTACCAAACCCACCTTCTAATCAGTGATATTTCAGTTTGTCATAGCCAGGTGTCAGAAGATGTAAATCCTACTAAAATTGGCCTGGTAGAAAACTGGCGGTTGAAAACTACACTGCCATAGATCGTGACACGACTTCTCTCTGACCTCACCTAGAATTAGCTAAGGATTCTAGATAGTGAATTCAACAGATGAAAAGATAAATTTCCATTGTGGAGTATTTTCCGCGAATTTTTTATTGTCTTATTAGAGGTCTAACTCTGCAGTGTATCAAGATAGAGGTCCGAGTAACAGGTATAGTACAGTAATGCTACAGATCAATACTTTTCGCTTTTTTAATCCATTTTCTAGATTAATGGCCCACCTTCACTTCCTTTATCGCCTCATTAAGCAGGTCTTTGACGAAAGCTCGAGCCCGCCGCTGAACTTCATCTTCAGTCGTCATCGTTAACAGCTGCGCAGCGCAGAAGCCTTCTTTGCCTGAATCTCGTTTTAAGTCCACGTCAGCTGTTGCGCTCACCTAACCGCTATTGCCTTTAATTTGATAATGAAATAGCAATAGTAAAACTAATTAGATTGGAGTTCGGTTGGAAAAAAAACTACGATAACCTCCATGATTTTTTCCATGACGATACGACTTTAATGACTCGAGTGGCAGTGTTGTTTATAAGGTTGCGGATAACCTCGCAAAAGTATATTATACAACGTTTTACGCATGGCACGTTCGTTCGGTGACCAACATTGGTTCGACAATAAATCAATTTCTAGCTTTTGCTGACTATAGTAAAGGATAACGGTAAAAAATCGACTTGAAATTGCTTATCGCGCAAGCGTACAAAGCGAACCACAGATGCATCGTGGCGTCCTTCGCTACTGACTTCTTGCGATGATGGACAGACTTTAATCGGCCTTACCCCAATATTCATTCACGCCAGTTAGTGGAGTCTGTTTTTGTAGCTTACTGCAGTTATAATCGTAACACTTCCTCCGGCACACGCGTTCCCCTACGACGTCAATAAACCAAAGCCTTTGCTGTTGTATCCACACGAGATCCAAGTATGGCGACCTACAATGGCGTAATTAGATCACACTGGGAGTAGCTAAGAGCCCGCACACGAGAGCACTCCACTTGCGCGCTTTGCAGCGTACGGTAGACTAGCTCAAGAACGACACCATGAAGGGAGGACGATGATGCGCTCGCTCAAGGCCAAAGAGTCGTCAGCTGACCAGTAGGTTGGTTGGTTGGTTGGTCGGTCGGTCGATCGATCGACCGTTTGCTATGTTGTGCGCTGCTTTCGTTAGCCGTGGGGCTTTTCTATAGAGTAGAGGTGGATACTGATACTGCGGCCGCTGCTACCGGCTGCTCGTAGCATTCTCAAAAGCTTCGCTGGACTACGACGCTCCACTATGCGAACGCTATAGAAACATGGAATCAGCTAGAAAGGCGACGATACAGTATCTAACGCCTCTGATCAGACAGATGGCAAGAGAGGAGGCTTGTCACTAGCGCGGTAGCGACCAAACGCTGCCAACAATCGCTTTAGGTTTGTATGGATCCTGTCGTAATGGAGCGCCATAGCAAATTCCAAAGGGATTTTTGAGAGGGAGAATGTTTTTCAGGCTGCTATTTCCCCGAAACCTATATTTGATCAGCTTGATATAATAAGACGCAACGAAAGTGGAATTCTACGGAGCATTAGTACCGTGTGTGTACATTCTTTTGGTAGTGTTTAGAGAAACTACCTGGGTTGTATACAAGCTTTATTGCGTATAATATATCCAATGCTTAACAGCCTGCCAGAGGCTGGGAGCTCGTTGGGCGGTGTTAACGCTACCCGCTTGCGCTGTTCAATTTTAATATCGTGCAAAAAAGCATGGAGCGGCGAACAACGGAGGGTCAGGGCGCACCGTACAATAATAAATTAGCTCCAGCAGAATGCTGAACCTTTACTTCTTTTTTTGTATCGAAACAACTGCCGATAAAAACGGATAGGTCTCTAAAGACCACAACATCGAACGTCGGCAAGCGCTACAAACCTAAGACAATTTACGACTTTTAGCAATTTATGCCCAGTTTCTTCTGCTATGGTCCTAAAGCATGATATCATCAGGTATAATGGAAGTATAACTACTATATACATGACCAACTTTGTTATCTTAGATGACCTTAATCAGTAATACCCTTGCGGAAAGCTGGCTTATAGACTTCTAATGTCTAGTGAGATATCATAATAAACTTCCCGGATGTGTACTTAAATGCAACAAAAATGCATAACGAGCATTTATAGGCTTTTGTGTCATTTTATCGTGAAATGCGCCTAAGCCTTGAATAGCGATTGCATATATATATATATATATATATATATATATATATATATATATATATAATATAAAGGATTGTCAGAGACGTCTACTTGTTGGCTGTGAGACCAAGAGGTCCTTACATACATACACTACATCTGTTTCTTTGTTGCTGCAACTCGGTAAACTTTTACACTTTATCTGCTTTTTTCTTTAATTTATTCATCGATTTATTACAGGTTTTTGGGCAAAACGAAGAAATCGCAACATGATGCAATACAGAGCAATATGGATGCCAATCCATCGACTTCAACAAGACGTTACGTGATCGGTTACCGACGAGCACTTGGAGACGCACTTTAACGCAAGAGTTGCATCTTCATCTACATTTGATGATCCAAAGTCATTATGAGTATTATTAAATTACCATATTTATTAGTAAAGCTGAGCTAAAATCACACGAAAAAAGTTGTTTGCTGTTCCGAAAGTATCGAAACCCAATAGAAGCTTTAATTTATTCTATAAAAAATTGCTTGCCACGTTCCAGAACTAATGCGTTCTCGCAGACTCCGTGAAAATAATTTAGTCAACGGCGGCTTCTATCCAATAGAAAGGAAACGCAGTCACAGTACTAGATATATTCGGGCCCATTATATTAAGTAGACCTTCCACTAGGATCAGACGGATTTGTCGCGGGAGTAGTCAGCAATAAATATATAGTTTTCTCTCTATAAGTACGTTTTTCATGGGTATGAGTGGCGTGGCACTCAGTAAGCCGACTTTAAAACACTGCCGAAGTGCGGCAGATAAGTAACAATCGGAATTGATCGAATTGTAATCGGATTCGTGATCTGGATCGCGTACTAAAACATTATAAGAGGCTAGCTATACGTCAAATAGGGCAAATGTCTCCTTTTCCCACAACGTCAATATATCGGGATACGTTGTGCTACCTTAAAATGATAGACATTCATTGAGTGTCATAAATAAGACAATATACCGTCTTATATTTCGTACGCTTCGTGGGTGCAGCTTTTAACGTCGAGCTTATAAGGTGACCGTGATCTCTCTCTCTCTCTCTCGCTGTTTAATATATTTTTTCCTTTTAACGTTTAATTTAGCTAAGGTGGAGAGTTCGTACTAAAGCTGGAAGCAAATGGTTTCAGCCATAAAACGATAGCAGCATTGTGGACTGGTGAAAACGGGAAGAATAATGTGATGTATAATGCCATATGTATCCTTCATCTTTTTCTTAAAAATTCTTTAAAATTTAACGTACCCAAAACACGTAGTCCGTCACTGTAATTAGCTAGTCCTATTGAGTATTATTATGCTTATCAAATTCGTTTTTCAAATGCGGATCGTCTTTCCTTCTTGTTCCTGTCTTATTAAAGAAAAAAAAAGAAATCCTTCAGCTTTGTAACCACTTGTCTTTGCTGTGTAGATACATAGGTTGACTATAACTTTAGTGTCTAAATATCATTGTGTCATTGTTCCTACCAATATCGAAGTCTATTACAAGGATACGTGCATAAATCTGAAGGATTTATGCAAGGACTTTTTCAGTTCTCAATTCTCTTTTGGCTGCGAAGCATGTTATTGAGAGTTTTCGCAAACATGTTTGCGAAAGGCTAAGAATTCAGTACTTTTTTTTCACAGGCCTAGATACTTCTGATTGTAGAAATGGCGACTTTGAAGCTGAATGAAAAGATTTTGTAGATGATATTTTTATTAAAATTTCTATTGACATTTGGCGTTCAAGTTATCAGAGTACTTGATTAGTTAGTCGCACGTTTGGTTAACGACGACCACTCAAAGACTCGCTCAAAACATCTGCTCAATACTGTACACTCTTCGGTAAATGTAACAATGTTTGGTCTCTAAGCCTATTTCTAGATATTTTGATCTAATAATTTATACCTTAGGTAAAATCGTAGAGCGTCGTACGTCAATTACTGAAATCCTTACCTCTTTTCCGGGCTAATGGCAATCTCTGAGACAGGCAGAAGCGTTTATGTCGCGCAGTTCTCCTGCAAGCGACAGATTCTAAGGCTTACGCATAAATATTGCGGCGCTGATAGCGTGCATGACTTTTGCGTTTTCAGAAAAACTACGAAAATTGTTAGTTCTTTAGATACCAAATGCCATCAGTCTTTTTGAGAGCCAAAATCATTTTCTAGGATTCTTTCTACGAACGTATATGACGCTTGTCGATGGTCACCAGAGGTGAGCATCAACTTTCTAATATAATATATAGTAATAATGAAATGTTTATATGAATGTGTCCGCGCATTTACGAAACAAAGTATAGGATGTAAGAATTGTGGCCAATACACCGTCTTTTACTACAGTGAGAAGCCTATCCTTCCAATAATTCCTATAGTCCATAATGAATATATTTGCCTTAGGTCATCCAACATCATTTAATGTAACTTCCTTAATAATAAAAATTATTAGACACGGGTTGCATGATCTTCGTTTAAGCTTTTTCTCACACATTTTTCGGTTCTTTCTTGCAAAATGTCTCCGGGTCAGAAATTATTTTAAGTGATAGTCCGACGAATTGGATTTCCTGATTTCAAATGAAAATAACATACTGGAGTCAAACCTTATCGTCATTTTGTTGTCAACTGATGACAGTGAAGGCGCGGTTAAGCATTCAGCTGATAAAGCCCGGCAATGGCCTGTTCTATTCCCGCAATCGACATGTACTATGCAATACGTGTGATTAGCTTAATAAAGTGTAGAATTAAGTAGTGTAGTAAAAACAGATTATATACACAAAACTACTACTCACTTTATTTATATCGTAGGAAAAATTGTAATATTAGGGTAAATGTAAGATTACGTAAAAAAGGAAAACTTTTTGATTTATAGCGACTCTAAACATATACTGTTTAGATGTGTTATAAACAGAATACCACCTACTCAATTTTATCATTACATAATAAATAAGAAACCTGTAAAATTATGTACATCAATGATTGTTAACGCTTTCCACAATCATTATATAGCCTCGCGGCCGAATTTTATTGTCACATAATTTACTATTAAATAAAATCGATATTTACTTCCATTAAGGACTACATTAAAATGCTCTAAGGAAAAAAATCTCTACGATGCTCTAAAACAAACTTTAGAAAGAGCCTGAGTACGACCTATTTAGGTGAAAATACTCAACTAGTGTTAAAGGTATGCCCCAGTAAAAGGTTCGTTCACTATCGAAACGCCTACTACGTACATGTAAATCTCAGCATATATAATGCACACAATGGTTCTGCGTAGAGACGCTACCTCACTTTCCATATATCAGACAGACGTGTTGCAAACGGTAATAATAACGAATCTGAAGTCCAAAATGATATTCAGATATATTTGCTTTTAAGTAAAACGACTGTAGGGCTCATTCTCATCTTAATTAGAGGGAATATGACTTCAATGAAACTAATGACTGAATGATTGATATTGAAGATCGGCTTGCCCCGAAACGGTGTGTTGGTTGATATCTCTATTTTTTTTTGCTTGCATCCACAATTGACACATAGCTTCGATCCCGCCTCGAGCATTTCACCCTAAGCCAGAGCTTATTTTAATGCTACAGATTCTGATTTCTTTACCATTGTTCTTGGTGTTATTCTATCAGTATATATACTACATACCGAGAGTTGTTTGCCCTTTACCGATTTTGAGCAGCGGTAACCGGTAAAAATGTGTCTTTCAACGGTCGCGCTTTTGTTCGCTATGATTAAGTGTTTCAAATTTTACATGCCGTATTACCGTTACCGTCTGAGGCTCAACACGAAACGAAGTCTTAGTTTTCATTCGGTTAAAGCTGCGGCATCGAGGGGGACTCATATATGATTACAATAATTTCCTATTATCATTAGCGATGAAGAACTTAGAACATCTCTCGGTAAGCTTGCTATACCTCTGGCGTAAAATTACTCGTAACACTGCCCCATGAATAGCTATAATTTCCGGGGTTCTACGTAACCCGTTTTTCCTTACAATTAGCTGAAATTGGCGCCACTCTAACCGGTGGATATTTCAAAGAATCGTCGTCAGGTCAATTGCGTTCAATATCATTGTGAACGAAGCACCTCGTTCCTTTCAGTAAAAAAAATATTACGTGAGTTATGGCTGGCTTGCATTAGTAAACATCGGATAAGCCGGATTCTCTCCGTGAATTTCAGAAATCATCTAAAAATGCCCGAGCTGTAGATGTAGCAGTATATTGCGATGACCTTCAAACATTGTATATATCAGTTTCCACTACGCGTAGATAATCGAATTGGTTGTTGTAACGATGTCAACAGCGGCATAGATCAAGCTAGCGAGCCCAGACTAACTTCAGATATTCCTCGCAGTGAGCTCAGTGTGAGAGAGAAACATTTGCAGGAAACTGTAACCACCTGCATCAGAGAAATATAAATTGTTGAGTAACCAAGGATCAATCAGTCAAACAGCGCACGTATACGAACGGTGTGGCGAATTCATACGATTTTTGATTCGCTGTAGGTACTGCAGGGATATTCGCTGTAGAAGAGGATTTCGTATGTGCTCAGGCAGGACTTGGAACGGACGCGTACGGAGCGATGAAGTACTTCGATCGCTATGAGTGGAAGCCGTTTGTGTTTCACGTAAGTATACGCAACCTCAGCTCTGTCCCATGTCATGTACTTTCGACAATAGGGAATTATACATCGTATCTATCAAACGTTAGTAGGAAAACGATTTGATGATGTTTTGTTACCTCTGATCTATTAAAGCGTGGAAAAATTTGCATACAAAAAGATATAGATTGAAAATCACAATTTATGACATTCAGTTCCGTTTAATACAAATACCGTTTGATAATTGCGTATCGTAGTACGCGAGGCAACAAAATGCTGATGTAGCCTCTATTATCGAGCCCTAGCTCTCAGCACGAAAGGAACTGTATCTATGCATTGGCTTCAACCTGGACCCTAAGATTAGGAGGCAAATACGTTACTCACTAAGCTATCACGGGAAAAGTGACCTAGAGATACATAGAATTCCATATTCGAATTCTAGATATGGCCAGTGTCGCGTTTTGCTTGTGTGGGTTGTCACTGCAAGTATCCTGCCTTTGAACAAGACTAATAAGGAGAAGGCCTCGGCGATCTAAACACTTCGGTCTTGGTGTCTCTTTGTAACATTAATTCTATTCATTTTTACAGCTTGGAAATTGTCTCTATCATGTTTTCTCGATCACTTCAAAAACTGCAAGCTGCAAATATACGAGCTCAACAAGCAACTTGCGTCACTATTATTCGAGTCCAAAAATTGGCAAACTTCATTTCGTGGTTATAACATTAGGTGTTGATAAATTAAGAAATAGACTCCACCCACTTCAGAACAACTTGCACTGTCTTGCAGGTGCTTAGACAAGATGCTAGGCATGAGAAGTTTTTTTTAATTTAGTCACTATAATATTTATTAAATATTTTTATTATATATAGATATGTTTATCTTATGTCTGGCGCACCACGTCGTATTCTATAAAGAACCCTAGGAAAGTTAAATTGACGATTCAGTTAATGGTATTAGTTGTACAATTTCATTTTTTTCGATGTATGTGCTATTATTCCCGGTGTCAATCTATCTATTATCGAATCATAGCCAAAAATTCAACATATATCTATCATAATACTTACTGGAATCATCAAGGACAGCTGAAATTTACAGCAAGTACTTTTTATATTACTTCCTTTGTGTCAGCTTATTGCAGTGCATCACACAGTTGGGACTGATTATAGGTAGAGTACTATAACGCCATTTATTTCTACCTTAATGAATGTCACAGTTCTTAACAAATTGCCGCCACCGTATTTAAGACTAATTTAAAAAATTAGGCATTTTCAGCTATAGCCACTGTTCTGGTACTATAGTTTACATTGGCGGATAATCAAATCACGTAAGTAATAACACGACAAGCATGATTCAGTAAGGGAGCGAAAGACAACCAAGCAATTAGCTAAATTGGGGTGTTATTTCGATCATCATCACCAGTCAGTGCTATCTTGAAACAAGCTCATGCGTTTTTTTTTTAAACTTTAAGCGGTTACTAAAAGGAAGTCATAGTGTTTCCATGTTTTAAAAACATGCTTTGTTATTCGCACAAGTCGAGGAAGCAGAACCTACTAGTTTGTGCTGACTGTCCTCTACAGTGCCTATAACTACGAAGCTACTAATTGACTACTCAAAACAAGAACTACCTCGTCAAGAATTCTATCCAGAGAAGTGACTTTTCCGTATAATTGTTCGGCGTCGCGACCATTGTCGTTGTGAATTATGCTGTCGTAATTTTTTATCGTCATTATCGTGTCACCTGTGTCGTGGAGTGCATGTCTCAGACTGGCAGAAATTTCAATGCAATTCACCTTACCGGCTGCAGGTGATGGAGCGAGAACAGGCCCAGAAGGAGTTTGCAAATGGCGGAACATCAATCAATGCAAAAATGAGACAACTTCTTGAGCAAAATGATGATGCGTTCATGACGCACTTAAGGGAATATAAGTCCAGCGATGGTATGGTTACACAAGATAGTGAAGGAACCTCCTCGTCAGGCATTACCGAAGCACGAGATAATGCTACAGAAGGTGCGAATAATCCCAAGTTGCGCAGGGGAGAAAATCCAAGGTTCGCTTTGTTAAAGTACTACACTATTCACTAACTAACATCACAAGAAACTGACTTCAGCTCTTATTAACATAGCACTAAATATAACTTGCTTAGGTATGGGCCAACCCTGACGAATAATAGAAAAGAATAAATTACTTTTATTTTGAAGGTTTATTTTATTTAATCGATAGCACAAGGCAAATGTGATAGTTGAGTAAAAAAAAAGGAATCCAAGGTTAAATTGATAGCAGAAACCTCGTCAGTGTTGTCAGTAATCTTCTTCTGCGAGCTTTTCTTCTCTGAAACTCTTTGAACCTCGTTTGGCGTCGGACCTATCGAACGCGGTAATAATCAAGCTAGCGATCGAGTCGATATCGTATGTAACAAATGAGTGTGTCGAAAACGGGCAGCTTGCTCTGTAGACTATGTTAAGCACTTACTGACCCAACTTGTACTCACTAATCACTAATTGTTCATTATTATTAATCACTGCATCCCTTTACTGCTGACTATACTTAGATATTTTGTTCTTTGATAATAGCAACTAAATTTTTTACCTCTTGATTTGTGCCTATGCTGATTCGAAACGCTGTTAATTGATAAAACAGGATAAACAGCGCTACGTATTACAAGCAATGTTGAGAGCAGACTTAGCTAGGTAACTGCTGGTATTGATTGATATTATTATATTGTGCGTGAAGTTAATAACAAAGCTGGCTATAATACGCACGTTACTAGTTAGAAACGAATTTAGCTTCATGAGTAAATTCTCTAACCTTAATATACACCTAAAAAGACGTGACCATAATTGTTTAGTCTATTTCTAGCTGCAAAGTAATGTACAGATTTGAACTCTGCTGGCTAGGAACTTCATGTTATCAAAAATGGGAGAGGAACTGGGTCTAATTGAGCGCCTCTTAAGAAGAGGTGCACGTCCACAGAAACCGCTGCCACAGAAGTACGTTAGGAAACAGGCTTCAAAAGCCATTAAGACTCCTCGTAACAAACGGGAAACTTACCAGGCTTTCAAGATAAACTTGAATGATGCTATCGACTCACGCATTTTCCAAGGACGTGCAGTCCATATCGACGGGCACCAAAACATGGACGGCACCACTAATGTATTAGGTTAGTCCTTTTATATTATATTTTAACTCCGTTGTTTTTCAGTACCATCCATTTTCGCTCTTTTGATAACATAAACTTTACCCGCCCTACATTTACACTGACTCATTCTTTAGATTAATGCAGCATTCTACCCGTCATTACCCCGTTAACTGCGTTCTCTTGATTTAAAGCAGCGATAACGAATACGATCGATTTATTTTCCTACTTCAAGCTTTCCATTCAATTATTTATTTGTAATTCGGCACTATACGTAATCATAATACGTATTTCGCAATTGATACTTGTGATATTGGACGAGTCATAATGTAGAAATAGCACAACACTACCTAGAGCTGAGCTTCACGTTGGCTTCGAGGTCATTTGAAGCAAATTCTCTGAACGTTGACGCACATCATGCCTCTTGGATACTATGTTGTTCCTACATATTTTTACTTTAATAGCTTCAAGCACTTGTTATGATTAAGACTGATTCATCTACCTGTTGAGCCTATTATTTGCTTCACATGTGCTCATAACAACAATAACATTCGTATTTACCTTTTCCCATAAACAGGCGCAGTAATTAAAGCTTCTTCTTTTTTATAAAGTCACTACAGCCTTTGGCTGGCGTTTGGCATTGGCTTCTAAACGCAGCTTCCAGGGAAACCAAGTTATCTATCGTCTTCACTGGCTCTTCACACCTGACACCCTTCAAACTATCAAAATGAATATCTCGAAGCTATGTCTCTCCATGATCGATTATTGCCTTGCGTTTATTCGCTTTCTTCATTAGGTTGCCTGCCAAACTGTGGCTGTCGAGTTAGCACTTGCCTGTTTTGTCGTCGGGCCAGTGTACGATAGGCATACGTTAAGCAGAGTTATAAGTTGCTTTAGCGGCTGCATATTTGATTTCTTGAATAGTGACATTCATTGATCAATGATTATATCTAAACGATCAACTCATTTTTTGAACAAGAATCGTCTAATTTCCCAAACAAACCTTAATGTCTCCGTGTTTTCTGCATAAGAATTTCATTTGTTTCAGTCTCGGGCTGGGCTGTCTGAGTCAGTTCTGGACAAGTACCATCGATTTTTCATTATAAGTCTTTGTTTATGTTAGCGATAATAGCTCCGAGCTAATCCGCGAAAGCTGTCCTACATCATCATACGCAGTATTACAGAAAATTGTGAAATGTTTATATTGAATTGGTATGTTGTACCGTGTATATTTTACCTGTACAGAATTTGAGGAATCGTGCTGAATCTATGAGCAGTGCATAACTTCAAACTTAAGTACACCGGCCGAACTGCCAACCCACCGGTAGCTCCCCTACCAAAGCGTTCGGTGTGCATCGCTAACCTATTATGCTTCATTCACTGTTATATTTATTTTCTACACACATCATTCTCAATTGTTTTTCTCTGTTATTATTTACAGGCCAAATAATTATGCTAGAATGGTTTCTACTCCACATATAATGTATTCTTATTAATTAATAATGTAATTTTTACAAAATATAAAGTTTCATAATCGAAGAACAAAAAAACTAAATTCCTAGTCGCCCCGTACCAGTTCTCTGCGTTTATCTCACGAAAATAACTGTCGGACGATATATGTCGGGCATATATATCTAAAGGTACGTCTATAGCTGCGCTTCGGTAGTGGTATAATCTATTGGTAAATGCTACCGTTTTTGATATTTGTGCACAAATTTGTTTATATTTATGGTTAGGAGTTTAAATTTTATGTCGCTCCGTAGATCCTTTATTTTTGGCAAAAAATATTCTTCTTTTGAATTACTCCTTTTGTACTATTTTCCGGTATTTTTTTTTCACATTTTTCTCTTGAACTGCTCTCACCGTGTAACTCTTATTATGGATTTATTCTCATCCTTACCCAAAAAAATAATAGCAAGCGCATCGAAGTATTTACGAAATGTTTAACTTCATTAATTAAACGTTGCTTATGAGAAATGTATAACTTTTCTGTAATTTACTACATTATTTCAGTACTGAATAATTATCACTTATTCGTTTCTGTTAATTTTGCGGTAAATTGTGAGTACAACAACTTCGCAATCTCACAGGTTGTGCCATACTTTCATTGCCTTTCAGAAGTATTTTCATAACACTTTTTCAGTATAGTCATTTTGCATGTGACTGGTGGCCAACAAAAAACTCATGCAGCCTGTGACAAAAGTTGTCAGCATTTCAATATTCATTGGTCTTTCTCTTTAGTGAAGCCTTCGACGAGCTATCGAAAGTAATTATGGTAAGGTTGTAAACTACAGGCTGAACTTAATCGCTTCGTTTTGCTCTCTTATTTGGCTAGTCAGTTAACTATGAATTACAGTGTTTGATATTCTCTAATAATATTTTATCACATATGATTCTTCATATGATAATGAAAGTTTTTAGTTGCAGAGCATTTTCTTTAGGAGCGCTATTTTACTGAATTCCCGCTCCATTGATATCTTCGGTGACCACTAGAACTAGCTGGTTAGCTGTACGTATGGTTCGGAAAAAACCAATATATTCGAATGATGGTACTCGAGGCCTTAGATATTTGTAAGGACTATAAAACTGCTCTACTGTATTTCACACATAAATTTAAAACTTATACCTGCATAATAAAATCGTCTGAAAACCTCGTATATACTTGACTCTATTACCTGCTCAGCTACCAACGAGACCTTCTGCAATAAGAGTTCTATTGATTCTCATAGATTGCTAGACTTTATACACTTGTCTAATTTTTTTCGAAAATTTCTGTGAATCTTTTTCTACAACACTTAACGTTTTAGTTGCTCTTCTGACTGTACGTGATTGGTAGTTCTCCACTGCTTCTTTTCCTCTTTTTTTTAGAACCATTATATCTTAAGACAGCACCCTGCGTCGCTTCGAGCACAGGGTGCCACTATGTGACGGAAAATAGTCCCTCTAACGTGCCGTTAATCCCATGTCATAAAATCAAGAACCGTTGTTCCTATACAGACCCAAAAATTCGCACCTAAATTGCACTGTGCACCTCTTATTATTGTGGCAGATAGGTGCATGGCTGCCAACAGCGATTATTTGCGCTGGCCAGTTTGCTTAGAGCTGACCTAAAGCCCGGTTTCTAAGTTAACCCATTAAATTTTTAAATTGAAAACGAATCTAACTTGGACCCAATCATGATAAATTTAAGATCCAACTTTTCTTCCAATATCGAACGTAACCGTTTTTTTTTTTCAATAGAGAACTCGTTCTGGTACTTATTTATATCTCTATAAAAAAAAAAAAGCAGAAGTTCCATTTCGAACTTTTTTTTTTAGATTTTACTATTGTCAAACTAATCGGGAATCACTTAGCGACCGAATAAGTTATGACATCGACGATTACGCATGCAGTTCCGTTTCTGTCGAGAACGTCATTACCTATTTGTACCAAATGATCAGGCTTAAGTCCGCAGGCTTCTCTTATGGGTACGTTTACGATTAGTGGAAGTTGTGCACGTTCTTAAAAAGTACAGTTTAGACCAAAATACCTATTATTCTGTTCAAATAAATTTAAGTCTTACTGTGGCTCTGTTTGGATGTATTATTGAGTTGGTGTTTGCAGGCGTAGTAATTATTATCCTCTTCTGTGGATTCGTGCTCGCTATAATTTTGAGCTTCATTCTGCTCATTGGGCGGCGTAATGGAACAAACGATAAGATGTCAGAAACACGACACAACGACCAAACAAGGATCTACTGATAACTCAACTATCATAATACATTTGTTAATAAAGATAACGCGAATAAAAGTAAGAGAAATTAAACAAAATTTTAAGCGTTTCAAGTATTTCTATAGCTAATATTCTACTATTGAACTGGGAAATTAGTTTGTTCATCGTTTTTTAGGAATAAGCGCTAACAATAAGTAATTTTTACAATATTGCTATTTAATTTATATCGTTAGTAATTGCTTTCGCTATTACTTTATGATGCATTCTGTTCTATTTTGGCATTATTTACGCTCAAGAGAGGTTTTTGTTCGTCTATCATAAGATTGGATAATATCTTTTATACTAGAGGATTATCTACTTTATACAAACAACTGTGTCTATTTATGGCCTAGATTGCAACAGCTACCCCAGTTGGGATTGATCTACGTTTATACTTTCTTCTTTTTCTGTATTGTAAACGTAGACTGAAATCGTGTCCACGGTATCTTTCGGCCTTAATTAATTTTTTTCTTTCTTCAAATTGAACCTCATTGGTGATTTTTAACTTTGGGTTGGATCTGCACTTTTTTTTTTCTATTCGATTGTGCTGCAAGCCATGGAAAACTTCTCAAAATACATATGTTTGTCCACTTTTCTTATTTGGTACTTTGGTTGTTTAGATTTCTGAAAAATTGATCAGGTATTGCGTGGCCTATTATTCCTTTAATGACATTTATATTCCGTTTTAGCAATAGATCGTTTAAAATAATATCGGCAACTTTTTCACTGATCCCGATTATAAGTTTCTAATCGACCTTACCCTTTTTGCGATGATTTAGTATGAATTATTCTTTATTATCTTTCTTATTATGTTTCTCTTTGTGAAATATTATTTTATTGTCTCTGCTAGCGATAAGCTCCTTTATTTTGTTGATAAACTTCAAGGCCTCGTACAAATCAAAATTAGATATTATTGTTCGCTTGATAAGGCGATAAAAGTGCTTCAAATCAGATACTAGTGGATTCAAGATCATTGTTTGATACAATCACTTTTGAATATTTCAAAAACTTGTGACAGGATCCTTATGATTTCATCGGTAGTTGCTCATTTAGTTAGATAGATGTTAATCAGTTTACTGCTGACATGGATTATGAGAGTGGATATGTAGCCTTTTACGGTCTTACATAATCTGTATGAGGTTATTTTATTATGTTTTTGGCTCTTGAATGTGGATTGAAGCTTTTTTGGCAGACGAGACTTAGGTTCGGCACAACTATTACGACTACTTATAAAATCTTTCTTATCGTTAGCGCTGTTCGCCAAATATGGCGTTTTGCTAAAGTTGTTATTTAAGTAAAGCCAAAATGACCTATATGAGGGTATCTTAGTAATTCTTTACGAAGTAATTTTTGAATATATATTCTATCACCTTTGACAGTAATTTTATTAACGGTGTGTATTTACATCCTAGGATGAAATTATTGTTTTCTGTGCTGGTAAAGGTAGGTTTGAATGGATTTAACGTTTCTATCAATTTTAGCTTCCTTTTATATGAGATTCCAATAAACTGGCTTAAATTGTAGCTATCTTGTATAGAACCCCCCAGACTTGTTCGTTATTATCGTTTGTTTGTGTGGGCCTCTTGCTCTTCCTCTTGTACGTTCTACATTGTTTTAACTCTCTGCATGAACAGGTATCGTATTATATTTGCAATAAAAAAAATGATATATGAATACTGAAGGTCTATCATCTATTAGGGACAGACATAACTTTATCAGAGACAAAAATTAGTATGAAGGCCTGACTGTTTGTCATTGGTGTGAAAGATTAATGCACTGTTATCCCGGTTGTTAACTGGCCATAGCGTGCATAACGCTGTTTAGCCTTTAATGAGGATTGGAAATGAGAATTGTGGGTAGGAAAGACTATCACTCTTTTGCTCTTGTCAGGACGTTTATATGCTAATATTGCCGACATGCCATGCGGTACTGTGTAGGGTGCGATAACGATATCCCAACCTAATGATCCAGTGGCCCGTTCTCTTTAAACAGCCTATAAGCCTATCAGTTGAATGGCTGGTCCATTAGAAAGTCGTTTGAGAAGAGTATTAAGAATCAGTGGGTATTAGTCTCGGATGGTATGAGGTCTACCCGCCAAGGCAGAACCACGCACTCATCAACCTATGTTAAATAAATATTGCCGTGCTGAACCCAATAGTGTGTAAACAGCAATACTTAATTCTGATTGAAAGAAAAATTGCGGTTGAATGAATAAAAATGTTCATTTACCAGGATACCGAAACCGCATAGCTTTTAACACATAACACTTAAGTCATGGTTTTCAAGTTTCTTCACAGCTTGCTTGAGTTCGTATATATGCCCCTTCTTATTACTCCCTGCAATCACAATATCGTATGCATTTAGGGTGCCTTGAAAAACGTTGTTAATAATATTTTTTCTAACTTGGGGAGAAACCAGGATAACACATTAATATTCCTTTGAACTTGCATAGCCCTCTACTCGCATTGACTAGTTAATAAGCTTAATAAATAATGTTTCGACGTTCTGCGTCTCGCTAACAAAATTTTCGAGATACCTTGTGCATCCAGCATTGTGTATCATTTATGGAACTTTTATATTAAGGATATGTTTTTGCACAATATGTTAATCGGTTATGTGAGCTCTTAACAGTTCACTTAAAAGAAGCACTAGGTACCGTGTTGATGGTTACAACCTGTGCTCTTACATTGCAGTTAAATAACCTGCAAGTTCCACAAGTTCTATAGCCGTATTAACAGGAACTGTGAGCAATTATATAGGTGGTTAATAATGCTACTATAATAATTTGATTTGATTGGCTTCATCTTGTTGTCATCAAAATGCAGGAAACACAATACCATAGATAGGTTTCTTAGTGGCTTAGATACAATGCAACGTCTTAGCGCTCGACGTTATTGCCTAGCTTTAAGACGCTGCATTTATTTCTTTCCCCCTTCTTTTTATTTGGTATCAATTGTGCTAAAGCATGCTATACGTTAATACTATTAATGATTTTCTTTAAACCGAACACTTTATATCGAATAATAAAAGAGTAATTACTGCGCTATCAGCGGTCAACTATTAATATCCTTATTTTCGTTCAATAGGGAGGATAATAGTTAGCTATATGGGCACAAATCAATTTTACGCAACCCCTGAGCACAACTGTTACCACAGAAGAAAAATGTATTATACCAGTGCGCATGTGGTGTATTTAAAAAAAGAGCTAGTTAAAAACACCAGTAGCCGTAGCTTTTATAGCCCCACAAGATACGGTTATGCATCGCAAAAGTGTTTTGAGAACATAGACATCCCTACTAGCTTAGCAGCAGTAATATTACTAGTCAGAAGCTTGTTCAGAGACTAACCTGAGGATATTAAACACATATATACGCCCGATTTAAGAGATTCATTGCATAAGTGCCATCGACTTTTTAGGCCATTCTTTATTTATATGTTCTTTTTATAGAACTTCAACTAAGTGCTTTAGTTCTAATTTATGTACGTGGTCTCAACTAGTTGCATCTCATATTATGCCGTATAATGCGTATTTTGTTAAGTCTAGTATGTCGGATAAGTAAGTGTAGTACGTCTGGTACGTAGTCTTTATTTTTAAAGAAGTAAGTGGCTGTGTGAGGTTTTATTCATGCAGAGCTCTATTGTATAAGCCAGGCTTTTAAGTGGTGATTGGGCTTCAGGTTGGACGATTGTAGTGACCATTTGAGTATACTATATGTGTATCCTAAAACTATTTTAAGGATAATTTTATTCGATGTCTGGAATACTGTTCCCCGTGATATACGGTCATCTTTATATTTCGCTTCATAACATCTCAATACAACTAAAAAGTTGTATATTTTCGTCATACAGCCAAGACATTCTTTGACTCAGAATGTGATTAATTCGCATCGGGTTCTCTTACTGATAATGTATGCCGCTACAGAGCTAATGTTTTGATGCTGATTTACAAACTCCTATATGTACATTTTAGTATCTAATGGTAATTACTGTCATCTCTCGAAACTATATCTCTGGAATGTAATGATATGCACGTTGGTCAAATGGCCTTGTGATTTGGCAGCCTTTTGTTTCCTTTCAAAATATCAGTAGCACGTACCATTTGAAGTAGCTTTAATTACGCTAACATCTGATCGGTATGAATTTATGGCGATGCCTATGACCACACATATAAACTCAATGGGAATATTTATTTAATCGGCTACCCGAAACGACACGACCTGCCAGCGTCCGACGGAGGAGGCGTCCGCTGCACTGGTTATACGCACCATAAGCTTCAATCATTTCATTGTTAAGTTTTTTGGTTATTTTTAATAAGCGATGTCTTGTTGAAGGATAAAAACTGTTACCATTTATACATACTCATGATTCAATGCTGTAGCCCATAGATACTGTTCTTAATTAATTACACATTTTTACACAAAATATCAAACAAATCAGTCACATAACTATCTTTACCTATCCTTCGTTTCTTCCACTAAACGATATACATATATATGCCTCTGTGTGTGTGTATGTATATAATGAGTACATAATAAACCCAATGCGCATCGAAGACTGTTGATATATATATATATATATATATATATAGCCATAGTAAGTTTCACATGAGGCTGGTATTGGACGCTGTGTGTGTGATGTAACAATCGAGCTTAACTAGGCAAAAGACAGACGCAAACGTGCAGCATTGTCGCAGAATGATTGTGCACCTTTTGTTCCAGAACATGTTTTGGATCGTATTCAAACGCACAAATCTGGCTGGTTTTCTGTAGTAACCGAATAGTGGCCCTACCCGACTTATTGCTTAAAATCCATTGATCTTCTTAGGGATTGCTTAGTAAATTCTGTGCAATAGGCGGATCGATGGGTCAGCTCCATTCATTTATTCTAAATGTTTGCCAATGATATTCTATGCATGAAACTAGTAGCCAAACTTATCGTTGAGTGGGGTTCTTCCATCACCAGTCTGCCCTGCTGGAGGAAGCCAGTCATCAAAATCTTCATTTCTTGTTGGTGTACTGCTTTCACGAATATTTTCTGCCACTGCTGCATTTATTGATGGTTCTGAAATATTTACGTTTTACAAAAGAGGTGCGTTTTTTGTGGAGATCTTTCAACTATAGCAAAAGGTTTTTGGAATCACGGCATGTATTTGAAAGATTTACCAAAACGGCGTTTGAATACCTGAATTAAATTATAAAAGTGGAAAAACATATGTTCTCGCTATCTGAAAAACAAAATCTTACTTACGTAATTTTAATAGTTTATTGTTCTCTGCAGTGTCATCTGTTGATGTTTTGTTCAAGGCTTCCAGCATTCCCGGCGGCAGTGTTGGTCCGATTGCCCTTTGTGGTCTCGTTAGATTTAGCTGTTGAAACTTGGCAATCGTGTGCTGTTTTATTTCTGTCGGTATCATTTTATTTTTTTCGTTCTTTATGTCATCCGAATTTCCTGAAATATGAGCATTGTTTCGATGAATATCGATACTGTTTTCCCGGGTACTGGTCATCGTTTCCTTCTGTTCTATTTTTATTGGGTTTACTTTGTTTTGGTCTTCGTCTTCGGTGTTCTTCTCTACTTTCGTTTCATTTTCGTCCTCTTCTTTTTTGTTTTGTGGCTCTGCTCGAAGAACTGTTGAGTCGCTAGTCTGGGTCGAAGTCAAAACTTTATCATTAGCGTCTTCCAGGTGCATCCGCATCACTTTAGCCGGCATTCCGGTCAGTGGCAGAACGGGTCGTTTCCTACCTCGCATCGATCCTACCATTGGAGTGACGGATTTTTCAGTACTTCTTTGTCCTTCTTTCAATGATGAATCCGGCAATATTCTTTATAACAAAAATTAATAATTATTGGGTTGAAGATACCAAATAAAATTAGCTATAATCATGTAAAATTAAAGTTGTAATTTATCAAAATGCTCAAATGTTGTGCAAACGAATTAATGTCAAAAATCGTTGATTCTTCGTTAAAAATGTACAAACAACTCACTCCGATACCTACGACATCGCTTTTAGTGGAGGCAATTCAGTGGGTTTTGCGATATTGACCAGCCGTATCAGACGAATCTGTTCAGCTGTCAGACGAGCATGGTCAAGTCTCAGTTGGGATCGTTTCGCTTTATCCAACGCCGTGCCGGCCTTCAATTGTTTCATGAACGATTCTAAACTGTCACCACCATCGCCTGATGCTTTGCTTGCTGCTTCTGAAAATAATGTGAATAATTTCTTTAATCTTTGTTTTTGCTAGCATCATTGTCATCTATAATAATTTATATTTCAGATTATTAAACAATTCCTCTGTAAGTAGAATAATCAAGATTAGCTGAGAAAATATCGTGGCTATCTAGAAAAAAGAGATCTGTTTCAAAAACAAGAGATAAATCGTACCGACAGCCTTCGACTTCTCAAGTGATTCGTTGATCTCTCTAATCGCATTTTCAGTTATAGCAAGTTTTTCCTTCAGGCTCTCATACGTCTCAACCGTTTGTCCTTTATGTTCCAATCGAGCCTTACGTTGTTCCCGTTTGGTAACGAGATCTCCTGTACGGTCAAAGAACTCGTCTTCGTCGCTATCATAGTAATCATCCTGAATATTGAAAAAAACATTGGCTAGATATTTTGATACTAGGAATATATCATTATTATCACATGCATTGGTAGGTACTAGAATAGCAAAGCAGGAATCAATTTGGACTACGGGAAATGTTCCAAGAAAAGAACTGCTTATGGTTGGCATAACAGTGCGACAAAACAAACAACAAATCTAAGATTAAAATCAAGTCACAGAAGGGTCTCGCGGGAAAAAAGACATGGCATAGGAAGCTACGGTGTATTGAGTAAAATGATAATGTCCAATAACCTCTTTCCAGTTTTTTAAATTCTTCTTGGCACGACTATCATGATGCGCCTTCCTGAGTTCATCATGGCGATCGAGAATCCGACACGCTTCCATGGCACATTGTACGACGGCTTCCTTCTTGCGGCCCTTTACACATGCCTCCGCTATTACAGCTGAACCGCTGCCTACATCGATTGGTAATCTGAATTTCATAAAAGACATAACAAGAGGAGGGAAATTCTTATAACTAACTCTTGCGTAGTAGCTTGAAATACAAAGCTAACTCAGTTAGTAGATTACTAAAAGCAGTGGGACCGTCTGATTATCTAACCTGTCATAATACTATCAAAACTGGTAAATGAGCGCTATCAATTTAAGTTTTATTGTCTAAGCGCGAGTGACATATTGAACCGTGCAGCGCAGGTATTAACGTACGCATTTGTAATCAAAATTTATTTTGCTTCAGTGTACAAATGATTTGAATACTTTAAAGAATTTGCAGATAATTTAACTTACTTGACTCTACAAATAAATTGCTGTGGTCCTTTTTCCTCAACATGGTACTCGAGCTCGTATCCTTCGCGCTCAAACCAGCCACGCAACGTTTTCTTCGGGTCATCAAGGTACAGTTGTTCGTCTACATTTTCAGCTGTTCCAAACGCAAAAGGGTTTACATCGGACATTGTAGGACATTCTTCGTCCTCTTCTGTCGCATCCTCCGCTGAAACAGGATCAAGTTAAATATAGCACGAATTAAGTTTCAGCGAGATACCGATTTTACAGTTCTAACGACAAATCATTTAAAATTCCCTATAAAGCCATTGAAATTTTTTGCATTGATAGCTTACTGTAACATGACGTCAAGTGCTTGTGAAATACAACTTAAGGTTTTGGCAAACTTAATCTTTATTGTTAACTGTTAATGGTGCTTTGGCATACAACAAAAGCGTTTGATTTATTTATACTGCCTTTTACATACGAAATACATAAGGTCGTTCTTACTTCTCAGTTTCTTATAATATGTGATCATTTACAACAACTACGTTTTGCACATATTTCTTTTACTCAGGAACTACATTGCGTACGTATAATAATGGAAAGCAGCCCCACGCCATGACATCAATCCTTTTCGCTAGGAGCAAGTTTTCTGTTTTGGGACGGCACGCTAATCAAACCCTTTTGCCTTTTTTAGAGTTGCAGGGGCACGTCTCATATAAGTCACGCAATTAACATTGCTGAATAGCGTAAACACTGTAAGTATGCAAGTCAAGAACACGGCTTTATCTATGCTACTGATATAGGTGCCTTACTGAAAGCGATTTGTATGTGTACCTGCAGGTGTTTGTCGCACTATCGGTTTCAAACTATCCGTCGCCAGGTTCTTAAGCGAAATGCTGTCACAGCTAGAGCAACGATCGCACGAAACTACAATACCGATAATGGTACTTATGGACATACTACATAAAAGAAGCAATGATGACTGACTCTAATTCTATTATATTGAACAAAAACGAATTTATATAGTTTGACATATCATCATATTTCACAATTTCCGCTTGAATTTCACTTTTGAGCAACACAATTAACTTACCCATTCCCCAGTTAATACCCGCGTCTCTATCCTCTTCGTCCCTTTTCCTGGCGGCTTCTTCTTTTGACACTCTTTCGGCTTCTCGCATTAGTTTCCACTCGGCTTCACGCTGAAATAAATAAAACTTTTTTATAGAAGAAATCTTTAACGCAAGAGTTTCAATTCATTTTGCATAGTGATGCAGTCTCATTCAGAATTAGTAACACATAGCTTGACGCTGGGTGTCTTTCTTGTCTTAGAAAAAAAAAACTAAATTCAATCATATGGTTTTTCCTGGGACGATAACGATTATAAATTACAATTAAATTAAATTCACCTAACAAAAGACAAGAAAAATTTACTTTCGTATTTACTACGTTATGAGAAAGGTTATCGCGGTTTTCCGGAGCATCAGCTATTTGAAAACGCTTCCTTGAGTGCTTTCCAATGAAAAAGACATCACCTATAGAATAGGGCAGAAGCTTAAGCGGTCCCAACCACAATAGTCGAACCGTTTACTTAACGTTACAAAATAGACTTTCGTTCTGCATAGACCAGACTTCATATTTTAAATTAAATTTATGTTCCTGTTATACAGCTTAAATGGCTAACAAGCCTCAAATTATTCTTTGATTATTTAATCTTATTAAACGGTTTGCGCATTATTTCTTTTAAACGAAACCTACCGTCGGATTCTATTTAACACAATAGTACATGTGGCAGATGCAGCATTTGAATATGATATACATAGTAGGCAATTTGACTGTAATAATTTGCGTTATGATCTTTAGCGTTATGAGGTTCTTCTTACCTTCTTACGCAACTCAATAATTTCGGTCACGCTGAGTTCGCTTTCAGCCTCCTCGTCTTCCGCTGGGCCTTCGAGGATAAATGCGCGGGTGCTAAACCCAAACTTTATGTGATGGCCTACGCGAACACGGCGGTAACTCTTTGCGTCAACCGGTTGGCGATTTAGTTGTGTGCCATGGGTGGAACCAAGATCAAATAAATAAAATCCTGCAAAGATAATAAACAGATAATGGTACCAGTTAATATGGTCATATAATACTTGTTTGTTTTTTTTTCGCTGTTATTTGGCCTAGCTGCGGGTATTTGAGGTCCATGCGGTTTATTTTATTTTTAACAGTAGTGGCTCTCATCTCTTATTTGCCCAGATGAATAAATAGAATAAATCAGTATTATACTAATATGTAGTAACTGATTCGAAATGACAGCACATTTCACTAAAAACTTGAATGGTAGTACAGTATTTCATTATGTAATTCTACTGTATTATATTACATTATCATGATAGGTACGTGCCTCCCAGCCGTTTCTCCGGATCTGTGGCATCCGGATGAGGTTTTCGATATTGAAGTACTGCATGAAATCGTGAAATGGATGGATGTTCCATGATGAGATCGCAGTCTTGATGTCTTCCAACGACAAAAAAGCTTTTTGCAAGCTTTTCCGATCCGATGATTGTACCGTTCTTTAATACCGACAATCTGAAACAGCTACACTACATTAAGGGTCGAACAACACAGTACATTGCATATCATACAATATATATGTTTCACTATGAATTAAAGCTTCCTAAGTGCTTCTTCTAGCTGCTTTTTAGACCCTGTGATGTACGTACCTAAAGTCAACTTCGGGCCGTCCACCCCAAGAAGGTTCATCGTACGGACATTTCTGTGCAGGGTACAAGATCTTTCCGTCTTGGCTATCAGGTCCTATTGAGAGTGTAGTCTGCTTGAGCTTTACCATGGGAACAGGTACGAGCGATTGATCTTTTCCCTCCTTTTTTTCCAATAAGGTGCTGTTCTCTTTAGCAATTGTTATCGGTGGAGGATTCAATTTTGGTGGTTCCGGAGCCCTAAACTTCTTTTTGCCGCCAACCTTTCCTACTGTGAGTAGAGCCGGCGGTTTCTTAAATTCGCAAGTCGGGGATGGCGCTGGCATTTTGTCATCCCCCGAAGACGACATAGCGAGCTCCTTAGAAGAGAGTCGGATATATTACTTAGTGATATTGTCAAGTAAATTTAAACGTGCACTCTGCTCACTTGAAACGTGGTCTAACACTTGTTTTCGGTTGTCTTCCTTCTCTCTATATTTTGCAAAGAATATTCAACTATAAATAGCCTTGTTTCTTCTATGTAACGTATTTAAGGTACCATTATACTGTCCAATTACCCTCGAACATTCAAAATCTGTGATGAATTAAATACAAAAATTAACCATAGGTCTTCGGTGAAAAATTATAGATCCAGTGTATAATAATTTCGTATTTGCTTTTCATTAATATCCTACGACACCATATCCGAGTATGAAACACTGTTGAAGGTAGACCTTTTCTATAAAAGCGTTGTTTATAGTATATGTTGAAAACGACCTCATCTGGTTCATCAGTTGGTTTGGCTTATAAATGATTTAATGCGAGAAACGTCATAGGATAAACTAAATCACGAGATAAGTAATGCTTTGCGTGAGCCGATTATATAATAAACGAAGACCAAATTTTCACTTGATCAAGAAATCTGTGATAAAAGCATACCGGGCGTGTCCTGCATATGCACCTTCTGCAGTCTCCGATGGACGACTACATGTTAAAGTGGTAAAAGTTCGCGCAAACATCTTGTGCGTGTATCTATGAAAAAATGTAATGAAAAGTTGTAAACTCGAACATGCTTCACACTGTAAAATGAATCCTCACCTGATATTCCTACTTCCAGATGAACTCAAACGAATTTTACTGTTTGTAGTACGACTATCACCACGGTAGAAAGTAAATTTTAACAGTGCGTAAGATTAATGAGGTTTACATTGACACTCAAATGTTATATAAGAACAAATTCCACGGTTTCGAAAACTTTGAGGATTGTTCGGAGCAGACATGTTATTCCGAGCTTTATCCTGACTTCCTCTTACATAATGCGATAATCTAACCAACTGTCGGTGCTCATTGATTGCAAATATGGCTCATATGATAAACATGACAAAAATCAATAAACATTTAGCACACCTTTTTTTTCAATGTAAGATACCTGTAATCAAACCTTTGATGTATTGTATTTTTCGGAAGTGTCGGACTGCTCAGAGTTCACAGTCTCTCTTTCGAATCTTGCCGCAGCCTGTAATGCCGCATTTATTGAGTTGCACTCATGTGTTGGAAAGAGTTTTTAGCTTAGTGCCTGTCGTGGAGAGTCTTCTATCTTCCTGTTGATATGGATATTATTGCTAGCGGTAGTAGGTACAGAGTACGACAAGCAAAAAGGTGTTTTCTATTACAATAACAAGTTCTCAGCATTTAAAACAGCTGATTTTCTAAAAGGTGCGTGTTCGTTGAATTCCAACAATGTTTCTTTAATGGCACTATTTAGTGTATGCGATATGCATCGGTTTTTGTGACACCAATGTGGGAAAAACTAGGGGCACAAGACAAACTAATATGGGCAAGAAATAGCAAGTACATCTAAAGTGACGGAATGTGTTCTGTGGCTTCCCGAGGAGGTCGTTCCAACCCTGTTCGGGTATTTCGGAAATATTTGCCGTTTATTTTCGTTGCTTTGGCTATTATCATTAGTCAAGGCTTATTTCTCGTTTATAGCCTTCACTGGCTTCCGGAGTCACTTCCACCGGCCGGCGCGTTTCACACTTCTAAGGTTAGTATTTGCTACCCGTGGCCGATTAAAAACGTTTATGGACAAGTGTGTTCGATTGTAGACTTAACTAGACTAGTCGGACTGTCATACTATTTACACAATAAACTTTTTGCTTAAAGTTTATAGAGAAATCCTTTATAGAAATAGTAATAAATTTCTGTAAAAGTTTGGAATTTGGGCAATGAAAAATTGGGAATACTAGAGATTCACACAGACCTTCATTATGGGAGAATGAACTTAGAAAATATTAAGCCAAAAAAAGTATTTTATATAAAAAGAGGGCCTTTTTAGGTACACAGGTTCGCAAACACCGCGTTTTTTTTTACGAAGCTGCTTATGTTTAATACAACTTACTTTTTTTTAAAACAATTCTCAAAACTGTCGAGACCTGACTGGACCCAAATGCAGAACTGTATATTCGGGTATATTAGGCAACAGCAATACTATAGAGCCAGGCCAAATCTGAACTGCCCAGCGCTTTGAATAGCTGAATATACTAAATAGCTTTTGCTGCAGTAGCTCATTGTGGATTGATTATATTTAGAAGGCTCCAAATCGACACCAGATCCATGATTAGGCCATTAGCATATTGGCTAACTTCATAAAAAAGATAGGCGTTGAGCGGAGTAGGGCGGGGAGAGACGAAACAGTTTAGTCCTTATTAGCTTACCCCTCCTACTCAACAGAAAATCTCAATTGGTAGCAGCATTTGTGCGCTATTGATTGCCTGCTGCGTGACAGACGTGAAATAACTTGAAAATAGTTGGATAGTAAAGCCAAAACCTCTAACTTGTGGGTCACGCTGCTCTGGTCAAGAAAAGCAACTGTTCAATATGGTTTGATCCATGTGATTTATTGAGATTGCTTTATTTGTTGGAACATGTTGATTTATAAAATAAATTCAGTTCGTAATTATCAATATAACTAATTATTATTATAGGAACGGAAGGTGGCTTTTATCGACCTCTCGTCCTTTCTTTTTTTGAGTGAGTTTAATGAGCCGGCCAGAACTGCAAAATTGCATCTGTTGCGGGGCATAGTTGGATTTTTACGGAACATTCCTTTCCGATAGTGAAATTGCACCCAAAAAAGAAGAAAAAGTAAGGGTATTTGTAGGTTGTACCGCTGAGCTTTGTCTTCTGTTAAGTCTATTATTTATTTTATAAATCCTTAATCTTTAATTAAGAAGAGAATTTGCCAGTTAAACGGACTACTAGTTGGCTTTGTTATTTGCAGATTGTATTTTGCTTCAGCTATATTGTTAGCGATAAGTCGATCTATTTAGTCGAGTATATGTTATATAGCAGAAGTCCTGGGATAGCCCGTTTATATCGTTCTCTCAAATTTATAGAAATAATATTAGATAATTATATAATATTTCAACTCCGTCATCGACATTTACCTTGTAACCTGCGGGGTTAGAACAAGAAAATATAACGATACTATTTTTAATTGGAGTGGCGAAAAAGTCGTTGCTTATATTGATAACTTGCTTATATTGCACATTCTACGTAACTAAGTTTACTATTGTAACAAGACGGTGGCAGATCTGTTGGTCTCTTATGTCATGATACGATCATTACTGTTAATCAGGTCATACGCATAGTTTACGTAAGACTTCTTTTGGGGCCCCATACGTAAACGTTATCCCACGCATCATATAGGACAACCAACGTATCAGGGTTAACCGGATTGAAGCTAATGTGACTAATGCTTGCGTGTTCCTTTATTTCTCATTTGGTTTTTGTAACAACAAACAAATTTATTTCCAGTGATATATATTGTAAGAAACATATAATTGGTTTTACAACTATGACATTAATAGTAATCTTTATATATCGGTTTCTCATGTATCTTAAGAGGGCTTGGTTAAACTAAGAAGTCTTTTAAAAGCACATGTTGATTTAACTTGGCTCGCTGTAGGAAGAAGGGTTCTAATCAGTATAGAACGGTTTGATTATTTCCATCTACATTGAAGTCGTGGATATCTGTTTGCAATTGTCCAAAGCGTCATTATCGAATTGTGTTTGAGAAAAAAAAATGAAAGATGCCAACAACTATCAAACGATTGTGTTTTTTATGAAATTGTTTTTGTTTTTGTGAAGAAAAAACGAGACTGCGAACGAAATGCTCCAAATGTGGAAGCGTTCGGCAGTTCCTAAAGGCATAGTTCACAAACGGCTGACTCGTTTTAAGGAAGGCGACTCTATTAGCTGCTTCTCGGAACGTTTATAACGGCAGCAATGACGTCAACACCGACGCTTGAAAAACACAACTTATACCTTTTATTGAGAGAAACCGGGAGCATTCTAGATATTATAGACGAATCTGGTCGGATTCATCTGTCTGTGTATAGCGAACAAACTTGCCATACTTTTGGAATCTAGGTGCCTCACAAGCTTATTTGTCACCACTTGGAGAAATGTATATTAACGTATACCCAACACACTTCTGTAGGTATTGAAATCGTTCTGCTTTACATACGGTTGTACCTGTGGCAGCAAAGTATATACTTGAAAGAACAAGGCCAAAAAAAAGGAAGCTGTGAACTTGACTTCTTGGTAGATCCAGTGTTATTACTTTCGTCTAAAGTAGTTTACATATCATACAAGAGCCACGAAAATAAGATAGCTTGACGTTCAAACTTTTTGCAGACACTTCATTCTCGTATTTTCGTATTTATGTCTATGGTTTCCTGTTCTTCGGATGGTAACTTATCAATTCCGCTGCTATAGATGTCTGAAGTATAAGAGTTCAATAGGCCTTTCGAGAAAAATTTCGAATAGCAGTATCGGCATCATATTAAAGTTTAGACACAACTTGTGTTATGAAGGGAGCAAAGTCTTAAGGAATATGCTAATCTGCCAAAGCAATGTTTGGTGCATATAGCAAGTGACAGAGATTGCAATTTCTGGACTTTTTTTTACTGTGGTTCTGGCTACTTAATGCGGGGTTTGTGCATCATCTGTTCGTATTCATATTGTATTTACAGCATACTTGTATATTAGGTGTAATTGTAAAACCCATATTTGGTGTAATTGATGAAGCAGAGTTCATAAAACAGGTAGTAGACAGGACCTGCATTCGACTATTAAACAGACACCATAAACTATTAAAGCTGTACCCTTGTTCTAAGGTGATATCTTGTTGGTTCAGTTGCGACCCACTGGTATGACCTTTTAGGCTTATCGAAGAAGATTAATTTTTCGTTATGAATTACAATTAAATGCAAAAATGGGTCACGGTTATTATGTGAAAGCATAGTGAAGTAAGTGTCTTAACGTCGTCATTTTTAATCTCAATTTTTGTATCTTATTCATTTGGCCAAAATGAACAAATAAAGTTCATATCACAAGCCTGGGTTTTATCGCCCGCGCACTTTAAGATACTTCATACTTCCACTGCAGGTTTCAACGTTTCTTTATTTATTTTCGCACGGGGTTTTCCATAGAGTCATTTTTGAGTTCAAAATATTTTTTCTGGAATTTTTAAACCTATGGGCTTATGGTGCTTCCAATTCTGGACTTTTCACCGAATACAAGATTTACATGCTGACTTGTTTTCGCCTTTGAGGAGCCAACATAAAATTCACATTCGTAAACTACTTACATTTTTTACAGATTTTGTATAGTCGATTATAAGTCTCTGAGTGACATTTTCTGAGTGAAGAGTGTCAGCTTTGAAATAGTATGATTGCACCTTAGAAACATAGAAAAAGTAATGAAATATCGTATAGTTTTAAAACAAGCCATTTAAAATGACAAGAGTAACGTTTATCGCAATCCACACTGAACTGTCTAATAAATATAATTATTTATATTGGTTAGGTAAGATCAATGATCTTACCTACAATTCTTATAAGGTACTAGTTGTTCTTATTTTTTTATTTAATGCAGCCTCTTCTTTCAGTATAAATTACTAAAGACATCTCAGGAAACACGGGTGTACTATGTCGACCTTTCGCATCTCTAGCACATGTATTTTGTCATTCAAATGCCTTTTACAATTTTGGGTACTGAGCGTAAACCATTTAGTTTTCTTTACAACTTTCGACTTGGTTGGGTCTAAAAAATAGCAAAACAATTTTGGAGAGACCGCCGTTGTAACTATTCAGTATGGACATTTTACGTACTTATCATTGATGTAAAAATTATATTTTTTGAAAGTGCCTTTTTCACACAGTATTACCAATCTTCGGTATTTAATTGTTTTAATATTTCTTACGCTATTTAAGTATAACTTGCTTTTAATTTAATGAATCTTACAATGAACGTTCTAAATGTATGTGATTCCCGTAGTTAGTCGGGCTTGCTTTTACTATTTTTTGTTCTGAAATAGATTGTCTTTGATGGTGCGAAGCTGAAGTGTATTTACCTGCGCCGAACGTTTTCTTAGAAATGTACCTATTTTCTTCTTCTGTCAACGAATAAAAAGGCTGTCTAGCATCCTCAATGACTTGAATACAGGGCGCAGACACAATAACCAGATTGAGCTTTTTAGGTTTATAACGAAATTTTCTTAGTAGACTATGCCTTTTTTAAAACTATTTTATATATTTATGGATGAATCCACGTATGGCATTTTTATGGTAAGCGTATGGCACTATTAACTAGAGCTTGCTTCGATAACTACAAACGAAAACCAACCAAAATTCCCTTTGAAATCGTGTAGTGTCCCAAAAATATCATAGGATAAACAAACAAACTTTTAAACTCCTAAAGCAATTTTGTGAGACAGATGGTAAGTGAAAAAGAAAATGATAGCATTTCTTAGGAAATTCTCTACAAAAAGCGTTTCCACAAAGCAAAAGGCACCATCGTGTTCATCCGGTTTCTTTTTATTATAAGGTATATCAACAGAGAACAGGAACTACAAGTTTGTGCGTAGATTCTAAGTTCAATGTCACGCAGCTGCCTTTCAAACATTAACGTGATTTGTTAAGACTGTAACGCCGCAGGCAGCCATCGATTATAACAAAGTCATTTTTGTTTATCTTCTCAAATAAAAATGTTATGTATAAGCTCATCATTCGAGTTGCGAATAAGAAATAATTGTACAGTTTTCAGGATATTCGCAAGGAACATATATAAACCTTAAAGTCTATTTTGGTTTTATTTAGATCTACGGATATATAGAGCTACCCCAATCGATTCTTTAATGAAGTTCATCTTCCTAAGACCAAGTATATCAATACTTCGAACTAACGGAACAAGGGAAGTTGATTCTGGGCTGCTTGTTATGTTTTTTACGCCACTGTTGCCAGAAACGTTGAATGGATATGGGGTAAATCCGGTCTCCGTCATAAGGGGTTGACCGTCTTCGTCGAGGAATAACACCTGTTAATAAGGTTGAACATATTTATAATATAGCAGTGTTATTCTCACGCCATTTATTATTGTTGCATCTCGTCATGATTAAACCTATTCAGGTGTTTAGAGATTTGTATATATTGGAATGCTAAATAGGAATTGTTTACAGTTTAATTTTAATGATCTTCTCTGTCCGATGGACTCGTACGTAGATCTACAGAAGAATCATATTTCTCCTCTAATATCTTCTACTCTCACCTTGTTACTATTGCCACTGATATTGTATCGCATCTTTTATTTATGTTGCATATTACGTTATGATCATCACTACGACAAGATCCAATCAATGTAAATACCTGGATTTCGGGCATGATTCTAGAGAGCCGTCCAGAGGGCACGGCTGTAATAGTGAGATTAAAGGTTTCCCTCCCGGAACCTTTTTCGAGTACTCCTTTTATGTACCACGTTATATCCCATGTTGAGAAATGCCTCTTCTGCTCTAGGTGGATTGGTCTCCACTGATTCACACAAGAAAGACAAGATGTGTTAATAAACCAAGCGTAAATGTACATTATGTAGCATTATCTACGTACGTGTTATAAATCAATTAAGATCATGAGATGAAACGCAAAAATGAATCTTGCAAATAGATAGCATTAATGATGATATCTATAAACTAAAGCATGATTTCTTTGGAAAATATCCTGCGAACAGCTCCCATAAATTTCCCACGACAGCGTTGTTACAATCATTGATATTTATATCGCAGCCCAATGCTTTGAGAGTATTTTTATTTAAACTAAATATTAATGTATTATGAGCAGAAAGGTAGGCACAGTACGACCGGGGTTCAGAATCACGGGCCTTTGGCTTGTCAAGCCACTTTTTTAAGCATTCACTAATCGCTACATAAACTATTTGAAGTCCATCTCGACTGTAATTAGTGTTTTTAATAAAACAAATCAGATAAATCGTATCGCAGTTGCCTGCTACCATTTCTGCTCACTGTTGCTCCAACTTGCTGGCAGCGCGATCGATACCTTCGCCTAGAAGCGATATCAAAGCCATGCTGCTGGGAGAAGAAGCCCTGAAATGCTTTTATGGTTGCAATGGCGGAGTTCGCCGTAGTCTGATTCTACAGGCAGCAGTGTCTGCCGTAAGATTCCCGATGTTCGCTGGCCCGGATCCTGAAAGCTGATTTTAGGCAGTTAAACGCATGTGTGGCACGTGGTTATGGCAATCAATGCAAACCGATGCTTTGCTGCGCAGCCGGTCAATCGATAATGTAATGATTAGTGCGTGAATGTAATTAAGGACGAAGCTCTCGTTCACCTCGCCAAGCGGTGTTAAAAGGTCTCGTTGACTTTTATAATGGCACTATAACACCAGTGAAACCGCTGCGTGACTCCGTACAAGCAAAAGATTTTATATTTTAAATTTCTTTGCATTTATCAAAGTGGACCACAGCTGCGGACCAGATTCTGCGGCGAACGCAACAAGGCCGTGTGATTCGTTGTCATCAGTGAGCTGATCAGTGTCTGGCTCCCTCATGGACGACGCGAGCTGCTGGTTTAGCAACGGGAATTCTGGACGGGCTTAGGGTGTTTGAGGCTGGCGAACTCTCGCACGAGCAAGTCGCTACGAATGTGATGCATCGATAATAGTAACAAAAATGAAAAGCACGAAAAGTAGACTTTCTATTGCATTCTTTTCCAAGCAAAGTTATGTCAGGCGCCAAATCGTCGTGCGCATCGAGTCTGACACAGTTTAGAGGATTACCCTCTGATCTGCGCCAAGGCGAGAACACTTCTCAGGAAAGTGCAGATATTCAGTTCAATCTGCATGGCTCGCCACCCAGAGTTCAGTCCAACTAAAGCTACTATTGGTAAAATCATGTCATGCTTTTATAAAATCTCACAGCACCGTGTTCCTGCCAAAGGCTTTGCTCATAGATAATCTCTTGCACATATTATGCTAGTTATTTAATTTGTTCATAGCAGATTGGACACTGTAGACTATGCCGTCATTCTATCATCATTCCATTTCCTTTCATCCAAGATAAGTCATCCCTGCGCAACGTGAAGTGGTTGGAGGAAAAAGTTCAAACGATGCTGGCAAACGGAATTATCGAATTTCTTATCAAGTTCTTGGTTCTGTCCAGTGGCTCGATAAAAAAAAAACATAATTATGAGGTTTTACGTCGAACACGGGAATCTCATGGCCGTAACCAAAATTGACATATTTGATTTCCATGACTAACTACGCTCTTTACAGCTATTGGGAGCGCGCTTGTTTAGCGTATTCAGTCTGCCAAACGGCTACTCACAGATCAGTATAAATCCCACGAATAAGGAGAAATAATTAGTAATTCGGCGACGTTCTAAACGGCTCGTAGATAGGGTTTCGGGTGCCATGAAATATTAAATAGGTTAGGTATACCTAGACGGCAGAGCCGACCATTCACAAGGCTTCGGCAGCCATTTGGGGCGTCTTACAATAATACTCGAAGTCATCGACAGAGTCGGGCTCGTGGCGCAGGATCTAGTTTATCTCGGGCTCATGATGTGTAAGGCGTTTCTCTAGATTCAGACAGGCACCAAGTGTCAAGATTACCGTTCTTTCTGCTACGGCCGAAGAATATCAGTGATACATCAGAAATAAGTTACTGGAGACTGGGTAAATATTTCTTATCGTTTTAGTTAAGGCAGGAACTTCAACTAGCTGTTGGAGCATTTATCCCCGTAATTTCAGCAAAGGTTATAATACACGAATAGGAACTGATGCAAGCGATACTTGATTTAGGGACTGTTCTAGCCTAAGTTGAAATAAGGCGTCAAGGAGTGGCGTGGGCAGCTTTCCTGGGCTGACCGTTCGGGGTGCTCGCGGACGCTGTAGCTCTTGAATACTAGAAAGCAAAACAAGCCTATATGCAAAGTTGAAAGTTGGCTTTACGAAAGTGCGAATTCTAGATAATGCATCAAGCTGTTGACAGCAATCTGAGTCTGCTCCCTTTGTCTATAATGCTTTACATTAGATTCATCGGTGCGACGTTTGACTGATTTCTAATCAGTCTATTTGGCTTTGTTGTTGACGAAAGCTGAGCACGTTAAAGCTGTTAAAGCTCGCCACGAAGTTGGACAGTTTAATACTTTCGTATAACTGTTTGAGTGTGTTCAGGAAGTTCTGAAGTCCTATATGAGTGTATTTTTTTTTAACACATTTATAAAGTTATGTGATAGTACACTTTACAGCGTGTCATTGTGGTGAGTTGCGCGACTTTTTTGATAACATCGGTAGCCCTAACGCGTTGTGTAATGCTCTATTTAATTAGTACTTCCTCAGTGCTTGAGAATTTTGAAGAGTCTAATTTAAAAGCTACTTAGTTTTTAACCCCTAATAATAGCAACATCATAGTTCTTCTAAATTGCGACGAATTAATTTAACGTAAACATTTACAGGAGGCATAAAGACATAAAGGTTTTAGAGCAATATTTCTATTTTGCCAGCTGTATATATCTGAAAAGGTTAAATATCTTGCACTTGGATTCTGCAGAACTTTCCTAGCATTGCAATAATAATGAAACAGAATAGTGGTAATCATTTTAGAGCGTTTATAAGACATCAAGTATATTTTGGCCTTATCAAAGATCACTTATTGCCTGAAAGGTACTGAAATAAGCAAAGTAAGGAATTATTGAGAAATGCATACATTTCATATGTTTGGGCTTAAACATACAAAAGTTATATTTTTTTCCGGATCCTGATTTACGTTTCTTTTAGTAACTATAAGCTCTGTAAACATCAGAAATTAATTTTTCCGAACAAATTTTTGTAATTAGCAAAATTCCGGCATTATTTTCCTTCTCGTGCTTTGTTAAGTACACTTTTTTTTGGATATTTCAGATTAAAATTAACCATATAAAGACGCTTTTACAGTACATTAGAGCTAGATATACGACTTAGTGTTTGTTAAACGTGGCTTATTCAATTCGCTTATCAGCTTAGTGTGCTTTATTAAAGCGCGTTAAACAGCTGCAAAGTCACGGACCCCAGGCAAAATTTATAAATATTCAACCGAACAGCCCGAACCTACTCAAAAATTTTAGCGGCACGACCTTGATTATTTCGATATATGTCAGTGATTAAGTATCGTTTCCAGAACAACCTCGCCTGATTTATGCACTAAGACACTTTTCCTCCAAAAAGCATCTGTACCAATCTAGGTAACGTAAGTGATAGTATGTTATACATATTACATCTGTTCTTTCCAACCAATATTGGGAGTAGCAGATTGAAACTGGTTAGCTTCACTTAAACTATTCTGTTAGTATATATGAAAATGTTGTGATACTATTAGATTTTCCTTATTCTTTGTGTACCAAAAAGGCAATTTTAATCCTAGATTTATCCGTCGGACCAATCTTGTTTGAACAAGCAGGATATTCTTTGATTATCTCAAAATGTTGCTTACTACGAATTAGCCTACGATATTTAATAAATGAATTATAAGGGAGCTATTTTCATAAATATGCAAATGAATTACCTTTTGAAGAATATAATTTAGCCATGAGTCATGGAGACTGAAGGTGAAGTTGGTGACAATTGTATTATCGGCGATTTGCGGAACTTTTTGCGCCACCATTGCTGAGTTAATTAACAGACTCAACAGAACCACAAGTACTGACCATTTTAAGGTGGTTCTGCGCTCCAGCACAGTGATTCTTCGTTCAAGGTGAACTCGGTGCTCCCTTTCATTCGCAATTTCCTCTTTAACCTCATTGAGGCCTCCAGTAATTAACTGATATAGATTCATTGGGTTGAGCTTATAGAAAATAATTCTAGTGCTTCTTCTGCTAGCATCCACGACAAACAGAATATCAGTACTGCCATATGCCAATGGATTTCATGTGTAATGTTTTGTTTCAGATAGTCAGCTGTTTATCCGAATGTAAACAACAATGCGCGTCAGTCATCATAACATGGTTTAAAAGCTTCTTGCGTGTACTTTTTGGTAGGATATCCTTTCCATAAAATAAAGGTGAAACTAGCAATTTTTTTGTACAATAACTTTATTAAATTTGAAAGTGAAGACCGCCGCGACGACATTTCATTATGTCAAATAAAGGCTTAAGTCTAGTAGTGAAAAGGTTTTATACTTTACCTATAGCTTCTTTTTCATCGAAAAATAGGTGTCACACATTCTAGTCCTTGTTTCACGTCACCTAAATAAAAAAATGAGCTAACTTTGAACAGTCAAATCATCGTTGCTCGAAAACGACTAGCACAGAGGAAATTGATACAGTATAAACAACTTCCTGAAAAATACATGCAAAAACTTTTATATTTTTGATCAAAGAGCATAATCTGGGTAAACGGCTACTTCACCACTCCTAAATCAACCACCAGCGGTATAATAGAGATTCTATTCCAACACACGTTCCTTTTTGCATCCAAGATTTTCAAAATAACATTTTCCGCTTTTTTGCTTTATCATTTGGGACAAGTGTAAGGGTTAGCTCTCCAGTCCTTCATAAAGGTGCCGCAGAACAATGGGCCAATTAACGCTTGTGTAGAATACTTAATATGTCGAGTTCTATATGTACTAGAGAAGGAGAATATTGCGTCAGACAACATATTGAGTATCGGCTGTGTCGTTTAATTTCAACTTCATAACAAGCTTTCGTCTTAAAATGCCAGCTATAATTAAATTTTAACGGCTTCTTCTATTTCGAGAGAAATCTATTAACGCAACTCGAACTTCCTTTTCTTTGAGGGGTGAATATTTTTACTTCGTCAATAAATAAAACTTTTTTGCAAAAATCTTATGGTAACGGTTTGTATTGAAACGGTTTATCAATAATATAGTAAAGGTCTACTTCTCCACTTTGAATTTCAGCCACTACGAGCGAATAGCACACAAGGACATTACCTACATGGCGGCCTGACTTCGAAGAATTACAAAGAGCATGTCGAAGGGTAAATATGATAATATGGAGGAGCAGAGCAAAGTTATTTTAGTGTTGATTTTCGCTAATATAACTATTTAAGTCGATATACTATTGCTGGTGGTTCGCTAGACAATTTATGGTATGCGACATTATGTATTTTTTAAAAAGACGGAATTAATGCACGGACGTACACAGTTGGGGCCAAATAACTTGTGACCCTCTAGTATAGTGTCCGACTCAAGTCTGACTACTGGACTTAGTTCCGCCGAGTCTAACACAGCCTAACAAACCCTCTTTCGTAGTTCGCTCAGTGCTAGCCTGACGCTTTATTGAGTTGTATTACGGACCTGCAAGAGAAGTGATAGGCGTTTATGGATCAATTGGTTGAAGTCCCATTCAAATTCCTTGCTTCACCAGACGCGTTATGTCACAATACTTGGAAACTTGGAATTCTAGCCGAGTCGTCTGCGGCCTCTAGGAAATCTCATCTTTCATTGGTTCTAGGTAATCTTCTTCTTTCAGGACTTGTTTGACTGTAGTCATTTCAAATTTGCTTCCCTTCAAATTTCCCCTGATGGTAGCGTACATAAACACTACGAATTCCCCTAGTCTTTTTCTAGGCTACTCGGGATTTTATTCTGAAAGAAATACCCTCGACGTGTTTTACGTCAAGATGGCCAAGTGCTTGTTTCTAGCTTTTATCGTTGCAGTCTCAAAAGTGGGACAGGTTAATAACAAGTATCCAGAGCTATTGTCCTTTGCTCGCAGTGGACATATGTCGAACGGAGTTTTTCCAATCCTGTGCAAAGATAATTGGAAATTCTCATGGCCTGTAATAATTTGTGTTACATGAGAGTATATTTTTCTTCGGAGCGCTCTAGCTATTTCCTGATATCTGGAATACGGACTCCGGCCGTCGGATTTTCGAGTGGTGTAGCCGCCTGCTCAGCCTCCTTAGTAGGTTTACATTAAGCTTCGTTGGAACCTTTTGGACCATTATTCCATAATTGCTTCTTCTTTTCAACCTTCAAATCCGATGGGGTTTTTCAGTCAAGACCGGTTAACCTATTGTCCTAAATGCTTGAAAAAATCGTACAGCCGGTCTTTGTGTCTTATAGAGAAGGTCTTTACTTGCTTAAGAATTTAAAGATGTTCCGAATCAAACTGGTGAACGCTATTGACTCGGGAGGCCAACATTTGAAGCCTTCGTCTACCCGCTCTTCTAGCCTACGTATATTACGCAGGATTCTTGCTATGACACTAGCCGTTTTACTCTATCTTGTCAGAGCCGTCCTAATATGCAGTAGCTTAGATAACCCCTTCACATCTATCGCTCTCTACCATCGTAATCTATACGGGTATTAGGTCAAGATTGATTTCTTGCACATTTTTCCATTCTACGAGCAGAATGCAGGCTCTAATCCACTTTTCTCATCCATTCCGAGATATGGCTTCCCATAGAGCTATATCCTCGCAGCCGTTCTTGCCTGTACTGCAACGGCCAAGGCATACGCCAGGAGTTCTACTCAACGCGGAAGATCTCACAGTTCTCCGCAGGAGTCAATCTACTATAGAATCTTGGAGCACTACCGCCGTCACTGGGAGTATGATCTCCTCGCTTGTTATAGTTCTGTCCTTTAGGTCATCAGATCCCATGCGTACTAGGCAGGGCGGTGCAGCCTTCCTAATCATCGTTTCAAGTTTATTCCACGAAATACTATTGAGGGCATTCTTAACGTTAAAAAATACTGCAACGAATGGTTTTCAAGCCTTGAGGGTCGAGCCATGTGTGAGTTTGACCTGGCTACGTTTTGTATCGTTGTCAGGACCAAGCGGCTTTTGCGGAATCCAAACTGTTAGGAGGATATTAATCCAAGCTATTCCGTGAATGGTTTCAGCCTTTTTCTGGTGATTGCTCCAAAGCTTTGGCCAGGGAGCTTATCAGGCAGATCAGCCTAAGCCTCTTATTTTCTTTTGGATAAAAATTATTTCTGCTTTTTCCAAGCGGCGTGGAGTAAACTTTCATGTGTGATCTTTGTGGTCACTACCTCTGTAAACTTCTTGAAAAGAACCTTGATAGCCAAAAGCGAGTGCCGTTTGACCCCGGCGCTTTCCCTTACTTTATTCACTCAGCTTCCTTAAAGACTTACACTGTCCTCATTTTTCCCTTACCATCTTATAAGGTTTCTCTGGTGGTGCCCCTCTAGCTCTACAAAGAAGTTCTTTCAGCCACGTTTTTGCTTTCGCTTATGAGCTTCGCCTTACGTTGTCGGTACATAGTGAGCAGGCTTGCTTTTTTTTCCAGGTTTTTGTCCTATTTTTTTTATAGGCTTCCACGTTTCTCTAGGTCTCTTGATTACTCGCCTAGCCTGCCTGCAGTTCCGCAATCTTAGAGTTGCACCAATACTCGGATTGTTCTGATTTTCTCCTTTTAAGATGATTGATTGACCCGTTTACCACCTTGCGTGCTCTGTCCAGGGTTCTGTCGACGCCGCTCCTCAGTGTAGGAATGCCGCTCCCCTTAAAGCGTCTTCCACTGGTTTTGCCGCAGCTCGTCGCGGCGCGGACCGAAACTATCAGGTTATCTAAATAAAATGTGTGCTCTTCTAGCGTGCAATACGGCGATCTATAGCGGAAATACACCCTCTCTACCCCTTTTAATTCTATTCACGACTGCGGTTGCAGTTAATTGTATTACGTTAATCGGAAGCATTGGCGGTAATTCAAGCTTATATGAGGTGGCCTCCAATTAATCAAAATCAACCTCCTGCGTTCGCTGTAGATCTCTTAGCCACCTTGCAATTGCTTCTGTTACGAGCTGTCATCTCCTCTTTTGATGCTTGTACCTTGGCCTGGGTTGTCTCCTCTGTGCCGACGACTTCCGCCACAAACATGCTTTCTTGAACGTAGAAAAAACTATCGTTTGTAGTGTGACTGGTTTCTTTGCACTTATATCAGTATGAGACATTTCCTTATCACATTCCAGGTATGTGTTTAGTTGCTCTACAGTTGTAACAGTGCCGCCATTCAACCGTCTCCTTTTTGTAGCAAAGTGGTACAGCTTCGGGCGTATAACGGATATGGCCAGCGGAACCTGCTTCTTGATCTCACAGCTCTAGTTCCCTAATACCACTTAAATCTGCAAGCTTATCTGCAGCAAACCAGCTGAAAATAGCTAAACATTGCCACCCTCCATTTATCATATATGGAATTCGTCTTGACGCCGTTAAATAGAGCCAGTCTAGGTATTAATTTCTTTTTGATCTGGCTTCCAACTAAAAAGGCAACCACTGCCCGTAATATTATCACGACACCTGTCGTATTTCAGCCATCATATCTGCCCTTAATTCTATGATATCTGCAAAGACTTTTCGTTCACCCGTCATAGTTTTGGTTACTGTTATGACAAGATTTCTTTACCTAGTCTCATTGTTTTCGTTAACGAGTGACCAGCTTTTCTCGGTTACTATACCAAGGTTATCATAGACCGGTAAGACCTAGTCTACTAGACTACTAGACTACTACCGGTCACCTAGTACGATCATACCATTGGTAAGGATAAAAACCTGCAGGAGTATTTTCCTATTTTGCAGATTTTTACCCTAAGTCTCTGACGTCTATAATTCTAATAATCATTTCATCGCTGTTTGGAACTACCGCTCTTTCGCCTAGCGGAAGTCCCAGGACTGTTACGTCAAAGGCAGGCTGCGCCGTCAGTTTTTTAATGAAAGCATCGTCTTCAGCCGGACCCCGGATGACAACCATTGCTTATGTTTTCTGTACATACATTTTCTCCTAAAAATGGATCGTTTATACGTTATTTCAAGCCACTCTTTGGAAACCACGTAAGCTAGGGTATCAATTCTGGTAGTTTCAGCCGCTTTTCCCGACATGTTGATTGCATCGTATACTCCGAGCTTGTCTAAGCAGAATGTCTTTTCTTAAAGCAGCTGTAGCAGCCTCTTTGTTTTCCAGCCGTAGGAACCTGAATTGCTGCCTAAGTAACTCGATTTTTGCATGTCATTTCGTTTTTCACACTTTTGTTTGCTTTTCTGTATATGTTCTAGCTTTATTTCGTAGGACATGCCTTTTTTCTGTCGTCTAAGGGAAGTTTCCGAACGAATATTTCGACTCTTATTATGGCTGCTTTTATCGAGATACTTCTTTTGAAGGTTCTTCTCAAATTTCTTGAATCCCTGATTATAGGCAGGCAGTGAGCCAGTGGCTAGATCTCAAGATATTTATTTTATTCTTCTCCATGGCGTTTCTTTTTAATAGAATTTTCATATAAGGGGCCAGACTCGATGCCTCGGGCTCTTACAAAACTTTTCGTTGTTCTCTTTTGCTTGGCGCTTGAGCTGATGTGCTCTTTAGTGACACTATCCGTGGGAGTTGGTTCATGTTCTAATTCCAGGCTGATCGCATCACGGCTGTTTCACACATGACTGTTCTAGTTTCCTTTGCAAGAGGTCCCTCGCCTTGTTTTTTCCTTCTGACATTTGATATTGCTTCTGAATCAGACGATTTCCTTAGCAACAGCAGGGACTATTGGATTCTTTCTGTCTCCTTAAATAAATCTTTCCCTTTAATCGCGTAGCTCTAAAGGCTCCTTTGAACTTCAAGCGTGCGGGTAAGAACTAAACCAGATATAGGAATTCGGAGCTCTAAATTTACCTGTAGAATCTTGGATTCCATCTCCCTAGCGTTAGGTGTCAACTTTAAAATTCTGTTTTATGATTATGTTTAACGCTTAAGCTGGGCTGTTTGAAAAAGCCTCTCAAACCGGTTCTTGATTAAACCTCAACTATCACAGGTTAAGCGTTGAGGTCCCTGTAGTTTTTAGCTCCGCAGCAAATGTTCTGTTTTACGTAGACGGTCACCCTAAATCTCAAAGTGACCGGAAAAAGATGAGGAAAAGGCTGCAGCAAGACTTAGCCTTCTGGATTACCTGTTTAACTGATTAACTTGTGTTAAGATTAACTAGCACTGTTTTCGCAGATGCATTTCGTCAGCTCATGTATGAGTGTGTTGGTCAGTCCGCAGCGATCTTCATGGCATGCCGATAGCACCACTGTTGCCACAGGATATCTCTTAGTAGTAAAACGTAAAATTACCACCTGGGGGTTCGAATAGGCATGACAAATGTCAGTTCTACCGATAGGCAGACAATAAGGCACACACAGCCCATCAGCAAAATTCTAAAGTTGCAATGATAGTTACCTAGTAATCCAGCATCGCGAAGGAGGACACGTCCGTTCACCTCAACGGTGAAGATGTAACTAGCGACATTACTATACTGACTTTTTTATACATCATTTTTATGTACGTCTATATTATCACCATTATCTTCAAATTCTTGGTGATTTAGCGTCGCTCCGATTTGAACGATCCTCGTCGGAAAAAACGGACCAACTACTATTGGTTTAAACTGTCCTATCAAACAGACCTATACAGTTTGCATTGCAGCTAATATTTAATTGTAGATATCGGCTCTCGATAAAATACTTTTTAAATGGCTTTTAAACCCGAAAAAAATCTATGTGACCACCACATACTACTATTGGTGAACTACTTTAAACATATTTCTTAGTCGTTTTATTAATCATTTTTACATTTACTCAATACAAGCTTTTGTATACTTTATTTAGTGGCGGCGAATTATTAAGGAGGTCAACAACCGAGCTTCCATTCGAACCTTCCTGTTCCCTGAATGGGACAGAGGTACAATCCGCCTTAAAGCGGGCACAGACAGCCCACTGCAAGCGACAAATAGCGGACGTCTTTTGTGCCCACCTTCGAAGGTCCTTGTATCCGACGTTTCTGAACAACACTTGTCCCAGCAAAGGTAATTTCCGATGAGTTGATATATGAACTCTTTTACTAGCTTTCGTGGATTTAAACTGATTTTATGTCAGTTTGTGGAAATATATAGAATTACTTTAATGAAGACATACATCGAAATTCGTCAGAGGGGTCGTTAGGGTTGTATAATAATATACCCATACAATTTAATGCGATACGTACTTGAAGCTTAAGAGCTTCTCACTAAGATTGTGTAAGACGTTGTGTTACAACATGACTCATCAACTGAACCTTCCGCCCCAGCGAAACAAAGCTTAAATATGTAATGTTTCACAATGTTTATTGCCTATTCATTACATTTTGCCAGCATTATAGTTAGCTACCATTTTCGATCACGGACCAGTTCGATTATGGGTTATCAATCATTCAACCACTTCATTAGAACTCTACTTAATCTACCTTTTTCAGAAGGAAATCCAGGAGATACAATTGGATGCTTCAGATTGCCTAACATAGACAGTCTTCAGACGCCTCATTATGTGGCCAATAACACACTCGCAAAGCATGTAAGTCATTCCAATAGATACGTAGATGACGAACATAACTAGTACCGGTTGATAAACTATTGTCAAAATAGTCAGTCAATATCTCTTTATTATGCTTTTCGTTAAAATGAGAGACCTCTGGGGGAAGGTTCTCTGTCTTTTATGTGATGAAAGTCCTCGCTCTCGCCTCGTTCCCCCCTTTGAACTCAATGAAACAGTGGCCGTTCATTTGGCACTGTTGGTTAACGTTCTTAGAGCGGCCTGCAGTGATTTTCTCATACCATAAAAAACCAAATGAGGAAACTAGACGAATTTTGAAGAAGGTGGTAGATCGGAAGACATTCGGCGGTTATAGGCCCCAGTTACTACGAAAGCTTCTTGTGTCGATTTAAGAAAGCTGTAGGAAGCATCAAAGCTTTTCTGGAATGAAACATTATAAATACGAGCAATCGCAGAAAGATTGCCAATTATGTGTAAAGATATGTTACCTTACAGTGTCCAATTGTTGCCATAACGAAGTCAGGCGATAGCTTCATAATTTATAATAAAGACAAAATTAAACTACTTAAGCCATCCGCGCTTATTTTTTTACCTATTCGTTTACTAAGACAAATGGAATAATTACCAGGGTCGCCACTACGGCAAGTTATGGTAGCCGCGTTGGAATCTTCTGGAGACTATTGAACAAAGGCCTGTGAAATTCAATATAAGTTAGAAAGTTTCTGCTGTTTTTTTACAATTTCTGTAGAATTAATGTCTGTACATTCATAAATCAGACCTATCTAAAGCCATGAAGCCTCGAAGATATGGTTAAGGTTTTTGTACTGCTGCAGTAGCCGTGTAGGGGGAAAAGCTACATAACTGAAGTTGAGAGCAAAAAACTAGTATTATAAACATTATCACGATTTAAGGTTCTAGAGAGTATAATTATATATGAATAATAAAGCAATAATATGGATGTTACCAAATTTCTATAAATAGAAAAACTCTATATCTGTGTATGCATGCGTATGTTCAGGGACTGATTTCCGACAAATAGGTTGCACGCACCCAAGGCAGGTTTTCTTTATTTTAGCGTTTAGAAAGATAACATGATTAGACTTCATCAATCAGCGTCTTTTCGTGCTATTAACTTCCCTTCTGCTCAGTTTCCAAGTCAATTTCTCATTCTCAGTTGAGGCTCACTCATGATATTCCACGCTAAGTATATCTGGATGCCCGCAAAGTACGATCCTGGGGCTATTAATATTTCATATTAGTAGTCTAATTTATATAACTTTTAGGCATTGGCATAAAAATAAAACAAAGATGATGCGAAGATATATGCGATCGCGAACATGTCAGAAAGGCAGATTTCAATCCGGTGGTAAATAGCTTTTTTAGATTTCTAAAATCTGAAGCAGTGTCTAACAGTTTAAGGGCTGGGCATAAAATATGAAACAATTAATTTAAATCTTTAGCTTCCCATCAAGAAGTACAGTCTAAAGCGTTTCGACCGTAGTCGCAGTCGTAGTCGGCCGCACAAGTTTTAAAAGTTAATCTTGTTCCAGATTTATGTATACTCATTATAATATTATTGAACGTACACGACATTGCTTCTTGGGTCTTTTTGCTTTGGCAATGAAAAACGTACATTGACTTGTTAAGCTTTTTTGTAATCCTATTATACATATCCAGTGTTCTTATCCGGAGCTAACTCACGACTGAAAGAAAACATTGTGAAGAGGTTGAAAAAGCGAGTAGCTTACACACGTAGAATAGATTAAAATTCTATTATAACATATTTAGTGATATGAAATAGTTTTAATAGCACAAAAAACCGAGACAGCAGCTGCAGTTGGTCAGCAGATATGTTGGATCCGTTGAAGAAAGCACTTGTATTGAGAACTTAAGCTGCACGAAAAAGTTCCCGCTTGTAAATTTGGTTTCTGTCAAGCGGTCATTTAGCCAGCAATTGTTTTATGGTTTGGCTGAGACAATATTATGTGTAGGCCTTATAATTCTGCTTTAGATTTATTTGGTACAGTCGGCCGCGGTCACTGTTGTTCAATCGCTGGCCATTTATATTCTGATTTGGTCAGTTGTTAACCTCCATTATGTTGTTCCCTAGTCCGCGGTGTCATATCCGACCCCGATGTCTTGCGTGTGGGCGTGCCTTCGCGTGGGCGCACCGTTTGCTGTTTTTAGATCGTCTTCCTCACAGCAAGAAGAGCGAAGATGTGCATGCGCTAAAGTTCAAGATAAAAGCTGGAAACGCGTAGAGAAACCTTGTTCCGATGACCAATGCCAAGATTGTGGTGAACTCTACAAGACCGGGCTTCCAATTCGTGAGTACGGTAGCTTCATAGTACAAACTTATGCTGTGGATCAATTGATTCAGAACGCCGGGGAGATAGCTTAACTTGGCGTAATGCGGTATTGTAGATTGCAATCGCTTAGCGTTGATATTAATTGGTATTATAGTTAAACAAAGCATATACAAACAGCACAGAACACATTGTTGTTATATATGTATAGAATTTTTATTTTGAGATGCAACACAGTAAGTCTTATTATAATTTTCTAATGTATCCGTCCAAAGGAGATTGGGAGATTTTTTATTACGTTGAATTCAAACCTACCTGCTCTGTTGGTTGAATTGATTCATTTAGAGATGAAAAAGCACCAGCCATTGATGCCACCTGCGGACCTCAGCGATAATTCTCCTCGAGCCAAAATCGTGTTCTTGCTCACTGTTAATGGACGCGCATTACGCCAGCTGAAAAGACTGATCTCAGTTCTCAATACTACTTCTACGGAGCAACACTTTTTTTACGTTCATGTTGACCAGGTGAGAAATTTTCATTTCATTCAGTTTCAATCTAATCAATAATCAATTACAAATCATAGAGGAGGTAAAAAATGTAGTAAAAAAGATCCCACTGGACGCCAATTTACGGCGAGTTTGTGGCTACATGTCAAATTTGTCCTATGTGTGGGTGTGGTCAAAAAACATTTTTTGAACAGAACAAAATACAACACAGATAGGTGACAAGATCTGCTTCGGGTACTTAGTAGGCATCGAAAAAGTGCTCTAGCGCCTTCACTTTGAATTTGGCAACCAGCTACAACTTCAACAGCTATAATCAACAATACAACCTTGATAGCAATATTTAAAGTGGAAAAACTCATATCTCATAGATGAAGCGTGTCGGGTCTATGTGTACGCTGAGTGACACGCTAATTTTTTGCACGTTTGGATGCTTCGTAAGCTCAAAGACCACTTTTCTTTTTGAAAGCGAATATCTAAGATAGATGGCTCTTAAAGGGTTGACCAGAAAATGTAGTGGAAGCAGCTGCATGGTCTTGATTTTCAGCCGACAGGGGCAATGTTTTTGAACATATTGTTTTGTACGTTTATGACAGCAGAAAATAGTGGATTTTAGCCGGAATTTTGCAATTTTCTATCCAACTCATCTTAGAGCGCCAACTTTGCTCCATAGGATAATTTCCTGTTTCGCCTTTTATTACTTAAAACATTTAATAAAAAAAAAACATAAATTATTTACATAGCGCCAAAATGTATATCGGCTAATCTATGAATTCGTTGAAAGGATTACCGTAACGTTGGGCAAAGATGGGTAATAATTATTCTCTGGAAAAAGGTGGCGCTTCTTTAGCTGAATGGACTTCTTGGCGTCTCTGATACATCTTTGTGAGCATTACACTATACAGGATGCGGCAGATAGCCCTAACAAAGACCGTATGACTAGTTTCTTTTCTCTACGTACTATTTGTAGTTTATTCCAATTATTACTAGATAATCTGTTGTACGTTTTTGCAGTTCACTTCTGTAACTTTTGAACCAAGCTTACTTTAACACGTAGAAATACATTATGATACACTATTTTGAACGAAGATTATTGTGAAAAATAACCTTAACGTAGGCGCCACACCTTAAATTTGTTATTAGCAACATTCAGACAACATTCGTTAACAACAGATTCGTACATTTCTTAGAAAAATATGTAAAAGAAAGGCAATAACAAGTTTAATAGTTTAACGTGGTGTTACCTTTGTGGTTGATCGACTCTTCTGTGCTACTAATTTGGTAATTATCGAATAGCGTCAGGATTATTTGTACCGTTCACTCAAGGAGCTGGAGGACCCGTCATGGTTGCGAGTTACGCCGCAGCGTTTTTCGACGATCTGGGGCGGAGCTTCGTTACTTCAAATGTTGTTAAGCTGTTTCCAGGAGTTGCTTCATCTCGATAAGTCGACTGACCGATGGGATTATGTAGTCAACCTCAGCGAAAGTGACTTCCCAATCAAGTTAGTTTGTTGTAATACAAACGTGATTTAGCCCTTATCCCCTGATATTACGGAGGACAAATAACTGTATACGACATTTTGGCTCGGTTTCGTTAAAATAGAAAAAACGGAAAGTGTAATTTGTAACCGTATAGTTTTAAGAAAATAGAACCTGGAAAATAACACCAACTTAACGATATTTCGTTTCTTAGTAAAAAGCAACCTTAAAATGAGGGATTAAAAGTACACAGTTTTGTGCACACAAAAAGTACACACAAACCTGTGATGTTCGCAAAGTGTGTCGATTCGTATGTCACGCAAAATGTTTAAAGAGGGACAAAAGTTAACACGTCAAGAAGCGAGGGCTTTCATTTATTTTAGATACTGTACATGGTGTTTCTATAGCGAGTTTCATAAGTTCTTTAAACTCCACAAGTTTGGTTGACTTTCGGAAGAATCTGCTGGAACTCATAAAAAGAAACATTTACATTTCCTTGTGTGAGGGTTATAGTAACTGGAACTCATATTAAAGACAGATAATGGTCGTCGCATGTACAAATAAACGTAATACTAGTTGGCGGACACTGCGTTTAACATATGCTTGACATTGGCCGAATCGGCCTTCAACTTTTGCCCTTCCTACTACGAATCAGCTAGAAATAGATAATACTAAAATAAATTTGACTATTCTGAACTTTTTTCTCTTTAGGAGAGTTGGTGAACTCGAGCTCTTCCTGGGAGATAACAAAGGCTACAACTTTGTTCGTTCGCATGGGCAGGACACACCAAAGTTAGTATTTCGTACATTATTTATGTCACTAAGTGAGTCAAATAAAATCCGATCTAGTATAATGTAACCTTTTTTTATATAACTGAAATTATCTACCCCTTTGTATGTCCTTATATATATATATATATATATTTTATGTATGCAGTTATACTTAACTTTGCATTCAAGTCAATACGTACAGGTTCCCTCTAAGGTGACTTTTAATGTACCCCCCACTATCCGAGTCTTTGGAAACCTAACGCCCAGAACAAAACAATGGTCTAATAAAATTTTTATACGTTTCCTGCTCTTGAGCTGTTCTGCTGTACTGACAGAATGCGTACGAAGACACGAAAGCGTCAATCACGGTGTCATTTCCTCGTTAAGGGAACCAACATTATGGAATTTATAGTGGAACAACAGAGACTCGGCAGCTCTAAAAAATTTTCTATTGATGAAAAATGTTTGGGGTCTTGGCTTGCACATTTCGAGCATGAAGTCCGTGATCGCTGACATAATCAGCTGCTTATCAACTCCTTGACCAGGACACTGAACAGAGTAAGAATAGTGAGGTTGCCTTATTGTCGGTTACCTGAGATAGCAAAGTGTCATTTTAAGATTTTTGGAACAGCAAGCAAAGCCCGTACTACACTCGGTCCATCAAGTGGGAAAGTTCGGAAATACAGTCCCCTATCACACGTTACAGTATACCACTCTGCACTGAGTTAAAGGCGTTACGGAAGTAAAACTTAACAAAAACGATGTGTGCGATACACTGAGAATAAAAATACGCTTCCAAGAAACCTGAGATCCCGAAGCAAAGTAGATGACGACCCAAAGGTGGCAGTAATCTTCGTTCTATAAAACCAACAAGAGATTTCAGCCGCTATCCTCTGTGAACTCTGGAAGCACCCATTTCTTTAGACTAATTCCAAATCATATGGACTGAGTTCGCCTAGGTTAACAGATTTTAGATATGACAAAGAAGAAGTCGATTAGGTCTCGTCGCGAACCTAGACACTAAGGACTGTGCTGCATCAAGAAGATGAGGTGTCAAACTAAAAAAGGATTTAAGAAAAAGGTCGGATGCTGAGATTACGTCCTCCATAGTGGCTAACGCATTTGTAAAGCACAAGATACGGACTCGGTATTTAAAGTACTTTCGTTCACGGAACGCCTGAAGAGACTGATGTGTTATTTTTTTTCCTGCGAGCATGATTTTTTAAGACTACGTAGGAAAGGGCGGGTTTTTCTAACCATTCTTCTTCATTATTTCATTTTGAGATGTCACTTGACAAATAATATCTATCGCGTTTCATGTTGTTTCGAGTATTCTAATAGGCGACCGGTAAGTTGGATTTGATAAGTTACATCGATCTCGGGGTTAAGCATCACGAAAGCGCTCGTAGTAGAAAGTCGACCTACCTGAAATTAAATCGTTTCCATTGTCCCAGATAACATCTTGATATGAAACTGGTTTCATAGAGTGGTCCGAGCCACCGTGTTTCTCTTAGATAAGCGCATGACGGTACTGAGGCTGGAATTTGAATAGACCAACCTAAGAAGTTCAATGAGGCAGTAGTTTGGCTAAAACTAAACTCTAGCGGAGTGCCTATATTAAGAGGATGGCTTCCATCATGATTTCATTGTACTTATCTAAATAGGCAGATCTGAGGCACCCCAGGTACTTTGTCTTCTAAGGGCCTATGCACAACTAAACACGTTGGTTAAAGCCAACAGCAGATGACTGGGTTTGCTACAATTGTTGCAGGCCTTTGGTGAGATGTAACTTTCAGCTGTGCGTTTTGTCCTATAATAGTTGAAGGTCACCGTTGAGAGACCATATGTAGAGCTACGGGGCAGGTTTGAATATTAAGAATTCGCTAGTATGGTGGTGTTTTATTTGTTTACATTGCTTTATATTTACTACGTTAGTAGTTCACCGTGGATCAATACCGAAGTTCATATTTCTAGTTTGCGGACAAAATTTCTCGTTTAGGAAATGAACTTACATCAACGACATATGTTACAAAATCGAAACCTATGTGTTTCTAGTTAAATAACAGCTGTAAAGCCTAAGACTGCAAATAATAGGGAGATTCCGTCTTCTGGGCTAGTTTGAAGCAAGGCTTTTAAACACTGAATGTTTTTGGGTGATCCAATAGGATATACTCTAAGAGAATCAGGTGTATTGTCCTAACCGGGATCACAGGCAACTCCTTATAAACGGGGGATTTTTCACACGATTTATTCACCATTGCTCCTTCAGGAAAAGTACGTTGTACAGGCCTTATAAGAGCTACTGAATTTTGGCATTCAGTTGTTTGACGAAATTCGGGCTTCGTGGCCTCGCTAGACATCCCTGGATATTTATTTGAAAGACTGCTTCTTGCCTTTCATTGGTACCTATTTTTGGTCAAATTATTTCCATTGAAACAAGCCGTTTTTCTCCTCTTGACAGGCTTTCTAAAAAGTGCTGCACTATTTTAAGCAAGCTCTCGAAATTTGAATTTATGCGCGCCATTAGATGAAACAACGGCGTTGACTATTCCACTATCAGTCTACTCGCATATGCACAATTATATATAACGTAAGCACAACTGCATGTAACGTATAAGCTGAAATTATCTGGCGCGTTATAAGTTGAATATCTAGATGGAATATCCAGTAGTTTCAGTATCCAAAAGTTTGCCGTCAGCTTTCTGTTCCTAGCCACATTCATCTGTCTGCTTGTAGCATATAGTCTATCAGCGGTTCAAAGCGGTTCAGCGGATTTAAATAAATCTATGCTCCAAGCTGAAAAATACTTTTCAGCTTTGATTATTGCCTCCAATAAATATACTTATTTAGGTAAACTGGGAATGCGGCAATCGACATACTATACGTTTTGAACGGATGCGAGTCGTTATATCGTCTGTACGTCGCAAAATTTATTTTATTTGTGATCTCTCTATTAAATTATAAGGGATCACTATCGGGGCCTTTACTAGCTGGGGATATTGTTTTCAGCCCTGTATTTTTGAGTAAATAACAAGACAATTTTATATACTTTCTTATAGCCCAGAATGGTTACTGAATGAGAGTGTGATAGATCCGACTAATAAAAACAAAGACTAGCCTCGGGCTCCGCTGATCTCTCGGATGAACAGGTTCATCAGTAAACAAGCCTTGATGAAAACCTTTCTGGAGTGTGAAACACGTATGTGGCGCTTAGGAGACAGGGAACTTCCTCGTGGCATCCGATTTGATGGAGGTTCTGACTGGGTGGCACTACACCGGGGATTTGTTCAATGGGTGATTCAAAACAGGGCTCATGATCCCCTACTTGTCGGATTAGAAGCCCTGTTCAGGCATACGCTGCTGCCCGCAGAAAGCTACTTCCATACGGTAAGGGTTTTATATACAGCTTGTGTACATTTAGAAGCACGTACACACCTCCCTCGTCAACTTCTAATAGTTTAAAATGAATTCATCTTAAAGCACACGTTAATATCACATTTACAAGGGTGTTTTTCTTATAATCAAGTGACGTTCGAGGTGAGTAATCGACGTTTCGGAAAGAAACTAGAGAGGTTCAAAACATGAAATCAATGGACATTTAGTAAAACGTTCATTAATTTCAAGTTAATAAAAATAGAGAAGCGCAAGATAATTTTTGCCTGATGAAACATATTTAGGTGATTTCCAGAGGCACCGTGCGAGACATTTACCATTACCATGGAAATGGTAGATTTGTGGAGGAATGAACCGGCATATTTAGGACATTGTTAATTGTCTAGACTTCTTGATCGGTGCACTGCATTGTCCTTTGCCAGCTTCTATCGATGCTATATTTGTTGACATTAACCATAGTTTTTTATGACAAAAACGGATTCTTCCATCTTTCCGCAGCGTTTCTTGCCCTAGTTCTACGACAGTTGCAGCAGTGGAGCTAAGCTACAAAGTTACCCAAGTAGTTTGGTTATTCAACCTAATGCAGTTCTTTAAGCCAACGAAGCTTAGTAACAACAATAGTAGACATACCTATTTCGTGTGATAAATGCAGGTACTTCATAATTCCGGGTTTTGTACGTTGATTGTGGACAATAATTTGCGATTCGTCAACTGGCGTCGTAAGCAAGGCTGTAAATGCCAATATAGACATGTCGTTGATTGGTGTGGCTGCTCGCCTAATGTTCTTCTCGAGGATGACGAGGGAAAAGTGGCGGTCCTCTCTAGAAAGACAGTATTTTTTGCTCGAAAATTTGAGCCTGTGCTTAGCCAGAAGATCGTCGACTTCATCGAGGACACAATGCTCAAAATAAAACGTAAACCTACATGTGAGTTAAAATGTATATCTCGTTTGCAAGATTATTAAAAATGATGTAATTTTTATTCAGTAGGTTACATATTGGGGTTTACCTCTATAACCAGTACCTGATTGTGCAATATTATTTTACATATTCATATTTTACATATAAAATTTTACATATTCTTCATTTTAGAGCTAGACGACTTTTTGCCAGATTGTCAAGTATAGAACAGTATTTTTAGTAGAGACAGGTAATGAAGTGTTTCGCAAAAAATCAAATCATTCTTAAATGTGGGTCGCTCATATACAAACAAGCACGTGGGGCCAAGTCATTGGCCCTTTGTATAGCTCAATTATTCGGTTACTTTGCTAACTCAAAAATCTTATAAACGCACTCTGCATAATTACCGGACGTACATTTCGTAGCTAATCTGGCTAGTGAGACATCGTACTGGCAGAACGAGTTTCACTATTTAGACCGGTCACCTGTGCCAGATCAAGGGCGTCTGTCAGCATGGAGTTCCTTGGCACGCCTTTCAGCCCATCATCTAGGTCAACTTGGAAGTCGATGCGTTCTGCGGGCCTCGCGAGTACTTGAAACATGGCTATATTTTCAACACGATCTATTCAAAGGTAGTGAGATAAAAAAATCATTCTGCCATGTGCGTACAAAGTGCGCCATGGTGAAACCAAGTAATGTGTCTAGTATGGATCGTATAGCGGCACATGCACACTATAAGAATGTCAGGCAACGCTGGGTTCCTTAAATAAGCTAGAATTAAAATTATGTCTACATATTTGTTGTAGGGGTGATTATTCAGTATGAGGCGCGAGCAGAACATTTGCCAGAACCAGTGAAAGTAGAGGCCTTGGTGAGCCCAATCAAGTCCTTTCAGAAATCTGGGAAGTTTGAAAACGATCCTTTTGATGATAGACTAAGGAGGATTGAGGTATCTTCGGATTTCGATGTCAAGGAACTTCTCTTCCGAAATTTCGCCGGAATCATGGGTAAATGCGCATCTTACTCAGACATGATATGCTCAATACTGCATTTAATATATCGGAATATATTTCATACTTTTAGGTGCCTTCCACCTTTCTTAGTATAGCACTGGTTCTATATAGGTACTTGTCAATGCTCGTTAGTAAAGAAAACGAATTAGACGACAGTGTCATTTCTCACGGTGCTAAAATATTTTTCCAGCCACCTACATGTTGAAAAGAGATTTATAATAATTACCGGCTGCTTCTTCAATAGCGCCTGTTGCTTTTCACCTTTTGGTTGAAATAGGTCCACAGAGCGAGCCGGGAGTTTTGCATGAATGGGGCAGGGGTCCGGCGTCTTCAGTAACGTTCGTTTGGATTGACCCTGCTCAAGTCGTTGCAGGTTCATATGAAGTTAAAGTAAGTAACAATAACACGTTGTGTAGTTTTTTCTACGAACCATTGGGACCATAGTCCCATAAGTTAATGATACCTCTAAGCACGTTCACTTATTGAACTAATCATCGGGGAACCTTTTCGGAAGAACTCTTAAGGAAACGTAGGTATATGCATCGGCCGGCTACAAAGCCGTAGAATTTTGATCAGCCCCGCCCTCACTAAATGTTAAATAAGTGGAGTAAATGATTTACTTTTTGCACTGGAACTTAAGAATACACCTTCTAAGTTGTTCTTTGTTCTCTAGGTGGGAATTTCTGAACAGATCGAGCATCACAAACCTCCGCTGCGGAAGCCCTTGCGGCCGGGGGTATGGAAGTTGAAAATGTTCAAGAATTGGGTCCTTATGGCTGAGACCAGCTTTATCGGTAGGCAGTTCCTGAAATGTTAGCTAACTAGATCTCCATCATTGTCTATATATATGCATGTTGATACTAGATAATTGTATTAATTCTCGTCGTTTATTCAAATTGCTTTAGCATTATATCATAATCAGTCCCGATAAAATACAAATTGATATTTCATATGCCCGGCTTAAACAACAATATTTCTCGATGAAATGTCACTCGTCGTAAAAACATATTTAAATAGAATTACGTGAGTTTTCAATGTGCGGCTCAACGCAAAAAAAAACTGCGGTTTTCGCTTGCCAATATAACGAGTGTCCTACATTATAAGCATTTAAAGCTCAGGAGACAGCGACATCGATGAATAGGGCATTTTATCCATAATTTTGTTATATCAGTGACCATTAATTATACGACATTGCGCGGAAAGTTAGCCATGATCGACATGTCTTATATTGGCGTATAATATTCAGTTTAAAACTGGGCTAGAGATTTTTCCCGCCAGTAGCCTACTCTTCATATCTTGCTTTAACGATTATCCACCTCTTACGATCTATACAATAAACTAGAGATGATACACTTTATGAGCTTCGCAAAAATCAAAAAATGAGTTGCTCTTTAGATTTTCAAAAATTGAAGAAAAATAAGTGGTTTTCTATGGGTATCAGCGAAAAGATATTAATTTCACATTAGTGTCAATGAATGGAATTTAATTTAGCCCGTTGGTAGTGGCCAACAGTAGGTAACATATTCATCATTAAACTATTGTTGCTGAAAATCAGGTGATTCTTAATCCGCTGAACTAATCGTTCCGTTGTGTCGGATGGAAAAAGGCACATACGTCAAAACAAAAAACGGATTGAAGGTCTAGGCTTTAATACTATATCACATTGTAACCTAATCAAAAAATATTTATCAAAGCCTTTGTTGTTGTTTTTTTTGTGGCAAATTTTCCGTAAGAAACGATTCTTCTGAGACCATCAACAATATGGCTGCACATATATATATATATATATATATATATATATATATATATATATATATTGAAAAACAAGATAATACTACCATAATAATATAGTAGTCGACATTTTTCAGCTGTACACAGCTTAGAAACTTCGTGCAGTTTGCATTAGTGCATTTCATCTTTAACCAAACTCGTCTTAGTAAACGTAAGCTACGTTTTAAATGTAGACTTAAAGCAAGTTTCATGAACGCCATAGGGCCAATTTAGGGATTGATCTTTTGCTATTTGTTATTTGAAATAAAGTATTTTATAGTACATGTGGGAAGAGGTGGGGCCATATGAGCTGTCGTTTAAAGCAGTGCCGCGGAAGAGAAAATTCCAATCTTCTATTATCTAAGACTCTTCTATTAAGTTGGCTCAGTATATTTCGAGAAGATATCAACTGAAGCCCACATAACTCCAGAACGTGGAGCTACATAAAGTGAAGTTATATGGACATGCAATGGGGCTACACGAGGCGCAAGTAATGCCGTGCGAAGAAGTCAGCCGCTCAATTAAACCAGTGGAGAGTTATTTAACATGATAATTCAGGCGGCTATGTGGGTAATAATTAAAGAAGTAAGCGAACTCAATGTACAGTTTGGCTTAATAACTTAATAACGAACTTAACATTCCTAAGTTCGTTGCATTTCATGCACTTGTCTACAACAACATGTCACAACTGGTTGTTTTGAACAAAGTTTTTATTGGCAACACACATCGTTCGCAGAATACAATGTCGTCGACACACGCATCATATTGCAGATAGCCAAAGTCACCGATCAGAATTTGCTATAATTATTTGTACTAAAATCATGCATAATCACGATAACTATACAGGCTTCGGTGCGGTCAGACCGGCTTGAGGGAACGGTTCGCACGTTCTTACCGTCTTTCTTCCAGGTTTTTCGGTCAAAATGCAACTCCAGGATGTGTCGGTACATGGGGCATCCAAAAGGTGGCCTCATATTGCGCAGCAGAGCTTGACGTTGGTCCGCAAAAGACGAATAGTAGTACCTGACTTGCTTAATTTAGCAGTAAATTATTATAAAACATTGTCTTCGTTAGCCATAATTGCAGCCCTTTTTAGATGGATAGGGATTACTTTTGTTGGATAACTGACTGCCTCGCATGAAACCATTGTTATCCCATGTAGTTTCATTTTAGTCCACGTAATCCTACTTTGTGAAGCTATATGGATCAACGATATGAGCGTCTTCAGTTCAAATTTTCTCGAAAATTAGCTAGTTATAACGAAGGCACGTAAGTTATCAGTTTGCTTCAAATATTGGACGATGCTAGTCGTAATTAAATGCCTACCTTCACCCCGTATCGGGTGTTAAGAACAACTGCAGCGATCGGCCTTGAACATACCTTCGTTGCGCATTGTGATAACGAAGGCATCGTTGTACGCCTCGTTTTGTCAGTCTTGACCGCATCTCATATCTCGCTTATAGATATAGCAGTTTATTACAAGCACTAGCCGGGTGCACGTTAGATGTGTATTTCCAAATCACCTGTATGCCTTAGGCAACTGTGAGTGTGATCCTCAGGTTGAAGAAGCAGATCACCCCATGAAGTCAACGCATCTGGCTAAGCAAGTCTGGACTGTTGATTGATGTCTATGATGACTAGAAACCTACTAACTGTCATCGCCTCACCAGCATCCATCCGTATTGGTGTTGCTCTGTAGCATCGCTTCGAGCGATCTAAGCACATGTACGCTCACTTTGTCAGGTTTATCCAGTACGACATGTTTCGATTTTGAATCCTACGCTGCTTTAAAGTTGACGCATATTCTCTATAAGGGTCTGCTCAGTGTTTCCGTTACCTTCTACAGGAAAATGTTGAACGCTATCATCTTTAGCTTTACGAAATCAACACTGCTCCTTCGAAGACATTGTTTTACTCAGGAAATGGTACTGGGCAATAAATAGACAGCTTAGACATAGCTGAACAAGCAGCCTTTTATCCGTCTTTAAGAAGATGGTTTTAAGGGACATCCTTCACTGTTTGCCACGAGGATTATCGTTTTTTGATTACAAACTTTGCGAATACAACCTTGTTGAATATAAGCGTCGATAGACGAAACTTAAAAACCGAGAAGCGTCATACCTTGCTTCGATTCGGCCGCATGACCTTATTGATAACAAGTCAATCAGGGCATCCACTGACTTATGTTATCAGTTGACTACTAGCCGGTTACGTCCAGGTGCTCCTCGGTCTCTGAGTGTTTCCGCTGAGCCTCCCTAGACCTGCTAAATACCAACAGCCGTTTTCATTCCGAAATATTGAAAATGTCCGCTATTTGCAGGGGTTAGGAGCAAACAGTCCTTTTTTCAAGAATATGTTGATCGGACCTGCGAAAGTATCTACGCTCTCTTCCTCGGATTAACAGAGTGAGCGGCAGTGTTGCAACCTACGTCTCGTCGATGAAGCGCGATCAATTCGAACTGTGTATATATAGACAGGATGGAGAGGACCATGTCAATCCAGGTGCCACATCAATAGAGCTAAAAACAAACGCAAACCAGCTGTTCTGTAAGGTTCAAAAGCGATCACAGAAACCGGCGATGCATAGTTTCCATTCTCTGGGGTACCCACCAACTTGTGAAAACAGTCGTATTATCCATCCCAATCATCGCGCTCAAGAAAATCGCCGCTAGGCAATATAAATGTTTACGTGCAATGCCTATGTGCTGCCCTAAGTATAACAAAGTGAGACGCGTTGCCTATAAGACTGGCAATAAGGTTGATCCGACAATCGACTTAGCAGGCAAATGGCATCGTAGGGTGTGCGTAGCGGTAACATCAGACTGGCCAACAGAACAGTTTATGAAATGTTTGCGCTGGAGAATGAATCAATGAGTTTCATTGACGTTCCGAAATGGGTTCGTCGACTTCAAGGCGGTCTTCGATTCGGTATCCAAAGAGAAGGTTATGATGACGTTGATGGAAGTGAATGTTTATATAAACGTGTTCAACTTTTTCGTTGCCACTCTATAGGAGCACAGAATAACTATCGACGTTGGAGTGGCCGAATTTCCGCCTTTCACAGGAAACACGACTTGAACCTAATTTTATCCTCTATTCTATTCAAGGGCCTCCCTAATCAAATAAGACGGCCCGAGAAACTAGTCGAAGGTATGTTGTACGTAAACGAATAAATGATATAAGGGTCGAGCAGGTTCCAAGTGCAGCAAAATTTCAACCCGGAGCCACGCAATGGCCACAGATTTGAGGCTGACCATAGACCTGATTGAAGTAGAAGCGATGAAGTTCAAGAGGGGATATAAGACTACTGACACCTTGTATCCATGTGATCCGACCGGAGTCCATACATGGGATTTTTCCCATCCGAAAACGGCAGAACTGTGCACGTCACCTAGAGATACGCGAAAGCAGTGTTGACAGCATAGGCCTCGTCCGCAACTGCTCTTACCTTGTTTAATCTCCAGATAGCCATAGATTGCAATGTGTGGTATAGGCGCCATTAGGGAAGGTCCTACAGTGAAAAACCCTGAACAATTAAATCGCGTCAAGGCCTCTTTCTTCAAAAGAGCACTGGACCTATTGCTTCGGGTATATTCTAGGTGACTCGCCACTGCTGTTCGAGAACCTACGTTATTGCTTTGAGCTTGCATCAACGGAAGTTTTCGAGACGAATTTTTTGAATAAGGAGCGAAAAGTCGTGAAGATGTCTTTGCCTAGAGTGCAACGAGTAGAAATAGACGAGCCCGCTAATCAGAACTGTCGTCGCTTGCTCTGCCATGTATGGGTCCCATGTTAGACTCTCTAGGAAACCTGATTTCTACGATCCTGACGATATATGAAGTGCGGAAATTGCGATAGATGCATGCAGTTCGTTGTCCCCTAATATCATCTTTAGGACATTTGAAAAATCCCTGAAATTAGTTTAAACTCATGTAAATCTTATGACGTAGTGTTGTAAATCGTTTCGTATGCTTCCTCTGATATTGATAGACTGTGTTGCAAACCTGTATGGACCGCTATCGGCGAGAGTGATTAATTAATCACTATCGTATGTATCGGAGCATAATCAATTTCGGCTAGAGGAAACTTTCTCAAGAATTTCCTCCAGTATCCACCTTTTTTTAACTAAGCGCATTTATTATACATTTCGGAATTAGATATAATATGGACAGTATTTTTTAGGAATATTGCCTACGAAAGATGTCACGCTTCAAAGATTGTCTTTAACTAGCTCAGACTAAACGGACCAGTCATTCTGATCACAAATATCGTTGTTGCACGTACGGGGTGCGCTCGGTCTTCTTAGCTGGTTTTTGTTCCTGCTTCTACGCGAACCCATTTCAGCTTGTTTCAGTTTTAAGCTCCAGTCTTCGCCATTGGCGCTCTCGTGGATGTTTAGTTTGAAAAAGATGTTCCGTGTTATGTTGGGATCGATTGCATAAGGACCGATTTTTAGTGCAATGCTGCGAAAGGGCACAGGCACGTAGACGTGGTCGCAATCGTTGCTGTTGCTGTTAAGGCCTCCATGTAGTCGGATAATATAGAAAAGGTTTTTTATACTCATGTTAAGTAGCGTCATTACGATCACTCTGACAACAAAGGACACATAGCTCTTAAAAGGCATGCTCGCAGGCATATTAAGGCATATCAGGTTAGCTATACATCCTCCCTCAGACTGCTGCCCTCACATTCGATACGAAGACAATAATTGCTTACTGAACCTGCATATGTACGTAAATGTCGGTGTTCATTTAGAAACGGAACTATTCTGGTTTGTAATTACTCTAGTGTCTTGTAATACCTCAATCCGAGAATTGAAGTCCAATGTTTCCTCCTTGTCTAATACTAACTGAAAGTAGCAAGTTAAAAAAGTAGACGCAGGTGATTGTTTGTAAGCTGTTCCTGAATGCAGACACTTTCTCTCAGTAACGAGAGAACTGTCTTCTCATGATACAAATCCATAAGTTCCACAGGACTTTTCCCCATTCGTCTCTCACTGGCTAGCTAGACGGGCCACGGGGCCCTGGTCTTAACTGCTCGTCGATTGATTTTTCTGACAATAGTTGCTCAAAAAGCAGCAAGTGGTTCTAGTGTCGTTATGTCTCTAATTGTTTCTTGTGCTGTGAACTTGAAATTACAGATTCAGTCTGTAGAAAAAAATATTCTTACGGACCTATTATCAAACCTTACAACAATCAAAGTAATGTGCGGGGGTTTTTTCGAGAGTGTCCGGCCCGAACTAACCTGTCTACTTCTTTAGAGAACAAACACATTTTTGGACATAATCTTTGCTTTATTCGAAAACTAACTCGATATTTTTAGTATAATTTTACCCTTTCTTTCAATACCTAATTAGGTTAGGAAAAGCCAAGCTTTTGAAAATAATAACTACATAAGGGCTATCCTGGGCCATTTTAAAAATGGCGTTTGATCATCGCTTGACTCTATGAACGAACAATTTCTACTCGAGCTAATTTTACAGTGAGGTCAAATCAACTTACAAAACCGTTATGTTTCCCAAGGTAAGGTGATGCCCCTAATCCAGTTTATTTTGACTTATTGAAATTAATTATGAACAATAGGTATATGCGTTTGAGGGCTGCTGTAGGGCAATATGACAATGATATATGCTGCACGATAGGTTGGGTTAAATAGAAAACCAATATCTTATTTTCAGTTGTTCCTCAAACGCATTTGGGTGGTCTTCCAGTCAAGAATACGACCATAGCGGCACAGCTGAACGGAGGCCCTGCTAAAGGCTATACCGAGGCCGATCTAAGTACAGTTGAGGACTTCCTTGGAATTTCGAAAGCGACGAAAGAAACGCTTATTAGAGAGGTACAAACACACTGTGAGATTGCTATTTAAGATTAACTGTGTTTGTTTTTCTATTGTTTTAAATAACAACCAAAGTCTCGCACTTAATCCAAACCCAAGAATTAGGTACCTGCGTACGATTACAAGTTTGCATCCATTCTACTTATTCGCCGCAAAAATATTATCTCACGCGCCAGTGGACCGGAGTAAAAATTTTAATATATATAAAGTTAGTCAACAAATACAGGCTCTATATAAGAATTTATGTAATTATACATACCAAATGGATAAGGGAAACGACCAAATTGCCAGCTTCGAAACTCTAGTTCGTGTACTTCACTGAGGAATAGGGCAACGTTAAAAAAATCAAAGTTGAAAGTAAAGAAGCTACTTAATATATTGCAGAAACCCATGTTGGTCGTTCGATTAAGGTAAAAACTACACACGCAACGGTTGTTTTACAAATGCTCTTAGTTCGGTAGAGATATTATTACTATTTTTATTATTACTATATTCTCGCGTGAGGCCTAGAATCTTTCAATATATATAAAACAATTTACGAGAATTTATTGTTGTGACATAAAACAAAACGAAACATCTTTGACTCGAGTCTTCTAAGTTCAAGGCATACTTTCAAACTTAAGTTCTCATTGTTTTAAAAACCTTTACGGCCGATACAAAATAATCTAAAGTTAAAGAAACCATTTGAATACTCTAATTATCATATTCTAAGGACATGATAACGCATATGGGTGCTGATAGTGAACGCTGTCAGCTGCCTGTCAAAAACACTGTATAGATCCACTATCGAAAAATTGTTTCTACTATATGGTAATCTCTTTACTCAGACTAAGGATGCAGTTTTGGATGATGCCTGTCACTGTTTGACGGAACTCTTTCCAAGAGTCGTGGTTTCTGGATTATGTCGTTTTCTGGATGAGGGTTAATTTATCCCTCGCTATACTTCTCGCCTTTGACACAATAATCAGGGTTACAGAGCTCATTGTTTGTCTGAAACGACTGGACATCCTTATTTTCATATTTCTTTTCTGCACGGAAATCTTTCTTTCCGTGAACGATCCCTTAGATGCAGCAAAAAAAATCTTGATCAGTATGTACTGGCACAATCTTCCCGACATTCTGATGTTCTTTGGGAGGTCAGCTGTTCATTAGACACTAATCAATCAAATGGACAAATTTAGATTGGCCAGATCTTTTCTTAAGTCTGAAATTTCGATAGAGCCATAATGCCGTTTTTTTCAATCGAAGGAATTGGCACGTTCGACGGCGTTAGAATGAAATACTTTGCAAAACATAGCCTTATATTATATTCGTACAATTTTACATATTACAGTGTTTAATAATTCCCTCTGATATAACAGTTACTCGTTCATTTTGCTACTTAATTTTACAACGCGAATCTTTGTGAACGTTGTAGACAGTTAACTGCGCGGTTTTATCGGAGACGATGAATAAGGAGATATGGTACATAGGTGTATAATGACTTGAGTCCACCATATAAGCAGTTTCCGACACACTTGGCTCCAGTTCGGTCGACGTACCTATCCTAGGTAGTATCTTTCCGTTTGCGTTTTCTCGTAAACACCACTGGAACAACGCTACCGAATTTCGGCCTGCTGGTTGTAGTACAAGTATTGCAAGTATGGTCTGATTTTTTTGTTCAACGAGACGACCTAAATATCGATAATCAAACGTTCTGGCTCATTCTATTCCATTCTGGAGGTATCTTTGACCTAAGCGCTTGAGTTACTATACAACCGAAAGTACATCGATGCCCATTCTAAAATTTAGCGTACTTTGCTATTGAAGCACTATATGACTGAAAGGATGCTTCCGAACAAATCAATACTGCGAAGTCAGTAATATTCAGAACTGCTTTTTTTTTTTTCTCTTTTTTCTTCTCCCAGTACAGACAACAAATTGTGGCGTTATACTGGCTTGATAATTAGCAATCGTCGTTTTAGTCACTTAGTTGTTCCTAGCTTGAATAATAAAAAGGCATTTGGTAACTTGTCATGCTTGTTAAGGCAGTTTGCGCTTTAACTAGCATTTTGTCCTATGAAGATCCCTTCTTTGCTGTGTCGTCCAATCGCACTTCTAAGTTGAGTAAATTGGATTACTGCTTTTTGTGAATGGTGAAGTGCTTTACCACAGAACCTCTCCGGCTTCAGTTAAAAACAAGAGCTACAAATTGATTTTATGAGCAAATGAATTGGCCACGTAGAGACGCAATATATGAATTGGTTCCCATTTCGGCAACCGATAATTTTGATATAATGGTACATTTTTTCTCTAGATATGGTGTGTTAAATTAAGTTACTAACTAATCATTAGGGTTAATTGAGTTCTGACATGTTGATCGGTGTTGCATTTGACAGGCAACGTTGAGATCACTGCGATCTGGGGCGGTTCTCGAGGAATGGGCCGATGCACTGACATTCTCCCGCTGGTCGGTTAAAAGAATTTGTTTTGCGGCAACTCCAGCCCATCCCACAGGAGGAGTCTTTTGCCCACAGTTACGCATTGAACCCTGCCACTATACATCATGGAGCACTCTCGCCCCGGATGTTAAAGAGATGCTCAGCGCTTTGTGATAGCATTTCACATCTTTATTAGTCATGTTATTTATGACGTGCTAGAACCAAAAAAATGTCGTTTTCATTTAAATACTTTTATCGATTTATTCGTTGCGAATTATACTCGACATTATAATTCTTTGTATAGAAGCTTGCTAGCTTGAGAGTTAAAACGATCGAAAACACTTGGGTTTCTATGTGTGAGGACTTAAGCAAATTGTGCCAACGTGAAAATACGATGTTCGAAGTGTAACATATGCTGTTATTGTTTGAGTAGTCATAATAATTCAAAACATTGTAGCTTCTGTAAAATATGTATACATCGAGAGTATCTATGACAGAAAAAATGATGTCACTAGTCGTCGCCCTAAGCTTTTAGTTGGAGGTGGTTTGCACGCGCGTACCTCATACGTTGCTTTTGTTTAACAGTACATAGTAAAATTTTTATACCGAAAGACTACAAACAATCGACGAATGGAAGTGGGCACAGCTATCTCAATTTTCGATTAATAAATATTTTTCAGTACTTAGTTGTGTTTTCTTTGTGATTATGTAGTGTCTTTCTTTTCGATTACGGTTCTTTAGAAGTCTTGTTCTGAAGCACATTCACTTAAGGTAAAAAAAAAAATACTAGTAGGCTTCTGTGAAGGACACCAAATTATCAAAATTAGATAACAGAAATTTGTCATTTTCTAAATCCTATATTCTTAGGTAACCGACCATTAGTTAAACTATAAGAAAACATTTTACCTAATCAATTAGATTAGAATTCTACATGTAGCAAATTTTACTCACAAGGTACGTAACTGCGCAGTTTCAAGATCTAACTTCCTGCGTCAGATACGGATGCGAGCAAGACTGCAAATGGCAGCTGACATTGAAGATCGGACATGAACATCGGCCAGCCATAATCAAATCTTAAAGGTTCTTATTTGTAAAGCTAGGCATAGTCATAAAATGCAATATATTATTGCACATGTTTAATCACTTGATCGCAGTCGTTTTGCAAAATGCTTAACGTACATGAACTGCGTTGCAGCAGGACACGCCTGATGGCTCGTGTTTCACGTAACAGTTACGTAATACAAGTTAGAATGCGACGTACTGTAACTCTACGATGCGTTATTTACAATCATCCGCTAACAATTTTTACATAAGATTTAAATTTACATAACTTTTCTTTGCTGGATCCGTTTTGCTACGTACGTTTGAATTTTGCGATTAATCACAGAGAATCGACAAACCTTACATTATCTCGATTGTTATTCTGGCGTTGGGATAAGTAACCGAGAGAGCGGAGAACGTAATCATGTGTGTTTGGTCTATATGAGTTTGCTTCTTCAGGTTTCTCAGTCTCTTCAGGTTGAGTATTTCTATGTAAAACCAAGCTCTACACCGGCATAACAAGCGAACCGTGACGAATCATGCGAGTTCAATCAGAGCTTTTTACGGAGCAACAGCCTTTTTCCTAAATCACCTGCCCACAATGGTTCTAGGGACAGAAAGGTGAGCTTAAACGCGTTATTGCCGAAAAATTAAGTCTGCCACCTAACAAGGTTTCAAATTAGTGTCTGCGGCAACGTTCAGCGTATGGAAAGGTGCTTTAACTTCGAAGAGCCATCTTATCGACATCTCAAGATCGACTGGGCCTCACCTCGCACTTAGGACCTACTGAGACCCGAAAGGGTAGCCTACCTACCCTCCGTCAAACAGGAAGTAGGAAGTGAACGGACACAGCTCATTGAAATGAGTCAAAAAATTTAAATACACAGACAAATTTCTACACAAAGTGATTTTATTATATGACGCTAAATCCTATATGATTCTGAGAGTTCAACAAGCTCACACGAACGTTACATAACGAGCGAAAAAACGAAAATCGTCCTTTGACCAACCGAACATGATTTTCATCTTCCTATGAATACCATCATAACAATATTCGTCCATCATTCCAAAAATTTGACGTTTTGTAAAAACACGCCGGATCGGTTTTTTCATGGCCTTTCCTTCTCTTTCGTCCCTTTTCTACATTTTGATTTAATGACAATTACAATTTAGCTAGTTGCAAAAGAGTCACGATAATAATATAGGCTATTTCCCGCGGTCCAGCATCTTCGTGCATTCATACGTTTGGCATATGGACTTCTAGCTTACTTACAAAACGAAGCCAATATATATATATACTGCTTTGATCCCACTATCAGTAGCATTTGATGTTGTTTACGGATAAAGTTCAGGCAAAATAAACAGTGAGGTTTGGTGTAATACATACTTACGAGAATTACTCGTATTTACAAAAGGTCTGCAATGCGGTTACGAATGATATCAACGATTTTTTTTTTTTTTTTGTAATTCTCGATACTCGATTATCCCTAATCTAGTATCGCCTACAGAGTGCCACGGTTTACCACACTATTGTATAGGACTGAAAAACGCGTGTTTTTTGCACAGAGTCTAGGTCAACCAGTCTTGTGTGTACATTGCTTTCGGTGTTCACGCTTATTATCGCGTTCTAAAGAAGAGTATACGCTATGACCCCCCAAGGTATCAAACAGTCATCGTGTATGATCACCCCCCACTATCATCACACTCTTTTACCTCCGTGCGGAAAACGCTCATTTAAAGAATACATTTAATATTTTATGAATGTCAAATGAGGAATAATTAAGCCATTTGATTAATTCAAATATTGCAGGGGGCACAGCCAGCTGAAGTAGAAACACCTAGTTAGTCCGTAATTGTCTATAAACATCCGAAGCACTAAACTTCGGATGGTCTACTACTAGTTGTTCTGCATGAAGCGTGCCTCTTATAGAAGTAATTCGACCAAAAACAAAAGTCAGCAAATCTTGTAACCAAGAGTGTGCTTTATAAAGCAATAGGAACCAATCATATATATAATGGTGTTATGACTATAAATGATGTTGACTCGTTCGTGATCGACGCGGCGATAGTGGCACTTCCGTCGTCGTGTGTTGCCGAATTTTTTTTGAGAGGTCAAGAGATTCTGTTCGAGAGCTAAAATCTAGTAAACTAGCAACAATTTGGTATAAAACATGTAAATATTTAAGGGTTTGGTGTTCCTTGTAGGACAAAAGAGTAAAAACAAGATAAGCCAGTAGCTCTTAGAATGAGATACCAAAAATATAATGAATAAAGCACAAGCACTGCAAGCGGAAAGCTTTGCTATATAAAGTAATTAATTCTTCTATGTATTAGACCTATCTGGAACAGCATAGCGATCCCAGAAAAAAAGCAGAGAATATCATCGTTGCCGTCAATCACAAACACAGCGTTATGGTTGCCCATAGACTAGCTTAAAATGCAGATGCCACTATAATTGCGAAGTCCGGAGCTAAATGTCTTGCTTAACAAGTGCTAATGGTTACGAAACGTTCATTGATGACGGCTGTGAACTTCGAGCTGGGAGGTGGCATGGCCATGAAGTGTCACAGCTATTCGAAAATCTAATAGAACCCCTTAAGGCGATCTTAGCATTAAAAATAGAAACAAACTGCAGTGAAGTCTAGTTGATGACCAGTGCAATGATGCTGAACATCTATTAGGGGGCAGATCACAAAAACAACCCACGTCCTACCAGTAAAAGTGAAATCTATGGAAAACGTACGGAAAAGAGGTGGACAAACAATAAAGAAAAGCGTCGACGACCCACAGGAATATAGGAAAACCTAATGCGACACCCATATTACCTAGCTCCAATAAACAAAAGGGGCAGAACGGTGCCGATAAAAACTAGACAATTAGAGTGTTCGACGTACTGGACACGCTTTTAATCGTTGGAAAAATTACAAAACATATTGTAAGAATAGATATAAGAGAAAATGTGTATCCAAACGAGAGATATGATAAATTCAAAGAATCCATCATGAAATATCGGCAATGGGAACACTAAGGTAGGAGAACAAAAACAGTCTGTTATTTGGACACCTAGCCATGGATAAATTCAGCCGAAACGAAACCGCCGCCAGATAATAATGTAATAGGTAAGCCTTCAAGGTTGTATCGCATCTATACGCAGATGTTCTAACCAAAGCCAAGATATACCAGATCGTTTCGTTAAAAACCCATAATCAAAACGGAAAACTTTGCGAGCTTTTTACGTACACGTTTTTCTAGCACGAAACCAGACGAAAGATTATGAATAAATATTTAAATTTGAATATGGAAACAGGACAGACATAACATAAATGCGTATAGAAGTTATTTATCAAAGCAAAGGAGTAGCAGCTATATATCAAAGGCACAATTGCATCACTTGATGTATTATTTCAAACCCCGATAAATTTTTAGGAGGCTATTTTTCAAAAGTTCTGAAAATGAACTTAGAAGCTCTATCTATGTTTCATAGACCCCTTATATCGGTAATTTTCGCGCGTACCCTAAGATGGATGAAAACAGTAACGAACTGGCAAAGAATGAATTCGAGTAAGTAGAAGCAGGTCACATAAGGAAATCGAGCAGTGGATAAGAAGATACACTATGTGTCTATGAGATCGTGTGATATCAATCAGTTTATATGCAAAGTGATTAACCGCATATGCATCAGATCGTGACATCCTCAGATTAACACTCAATACAAAAGACAGGGATGAGACAATCATGGAAACGTCATGTAAGACAAAGCGGAGAAGTTTGTTTAAATATTTGCAAAAGAAAATTTCCTTCTCAACCGCTCTTCCAACTGAAGATCTCAGACGTCATTACCTCGAGTTCATAGTCAGCTTCAACACAATTTTCTGTAGTAAATGTACCATAGTTCCTCAAGTTATCACCAGAACTGAAATTACAGGTAACAGCTATGAGCGGAAAATGTTGAGATGATTGTATAAACGCTCCACGTTTGCTTTTCTTCTTAATAAATTGTATACTATTATAGGCTGCACAATGTTTGTTTTATATAGAACATATCTATTTCACGTTAATAAGGGTGCTGCTTTTCTAAGACTATCGATCCTGGATAGGCAATAAATATAAAAAAAAAGGCAAAAAAGAAAGAAAATTGAGAATTTCGCAAGAGCGGCGAAAAGCTCGATTAGTTAAATCGGATGAAATGCATCATTGAAGCTTATTTTTATAGGTATGTTAGAGCCCATAAAAATAAGAGTGCCTGTACACGATTATCTGAGACACGGGATCGTTATATAAGAAGTTTCGACGATATAGAAACAAACGTAAGGAAATCATTCGTAAGCCAGAAGACATATCATATATTGAAATGAATAAAGCAGTAAAGTTAAAGGGCAGAAAAGCGGGGCAGGTTTTGCCATCATATTAGATTAGTAGACAGAGTTAACATCGATTTCTCAGAAGCCGAAAGGAACTTGGCAGAGCAAGAAAGGCAAATAATACTTTGGGACCATATGCCAATTTATCGACCAAAAACCCTAAAAACGAAACTTGCTGCTCCAAACATGAAAAAGGTATTAAGAGCTTGAAAAAAATGTAACTACGTTTTGAACGGGATAACTTACCATTGGTAACCCCTAAAAAAAA